TCCAGATTGAGAAACACAAAGGCTTCCAGTAGCAGAGCTGAAAGCGGGAGATTGTTCAGTGACAGACTGTTAATTCACAGCAACCAACTGGATGTGCAAGGTGATGGAGAGGGAAAAATCAAAATGATTAACTTAGAAGTGATGGGTACTTGTCAAATTTAAGTGTTTGTGTTTTACAAACTCTGGAAGAAGTATCCAGTAAATAGTAAGAAATACGAATCTAGAGCTATAGAGAGGTCTGAGTTAGAAATGCAGGTCAGTATAGATGAGGTCACTCAATCTACAAGGGTGGGTGACGAAACATGGAATAAGACAGTAGAGTAAGTGAGAAGCAGCCTGAAGAACCCAGGTATGAGCTGGAAGACGGGATGGGGGGAGGGCAAGAAAAAAAAGCAAGTGAACACTTGCAAATGAGAAATGAAGAACAAATTGTGCTATTTTTTTCTTAGGATTCAGTATATCTGGGTATGGTATATCACCATAAGAAAGTTATTAAATATCTTTAAAAAGATAATGTTCATTCATTTATAAAATTTTTTAAAGAAAATCAGCCCTGACTGGTATAGCTCAGTTGTTTGGAAGTTGTCCCTCAAAGCAAAAGGTCACCAGTTCCATTCCTGGTCAGGGCACATGCCTGTGTTGTGAGTTCCAATCCCTGGTCAGGGCATGCGCAATAGGCAACCAACTGATCGATGTTTTTCTTTCATGTCAGTGTTTCTTTCCCTCTCCTCTTTTTCCCTCCCTCTCTCTCTCTCTAAAAATAGATAAATAAAATCTCTTAAAAATAATTTAAAATTAAATATAAAAAGGAAATAGGACTAAGGGGGAATCATGTAAATTTTTCTACACTCCATTCAAACACCTCATGTGATACAGCATAGCAGAGTAGAGAAAACTGTAAACCAGGAGTCAAAGGACCAGTCACTTTTCAAAGCCTTCCAATAGCTTCTCAAAAACCAAGAGGAACCACCGAGGTCTTCACCATACCTGCCATGCCTTCTTCTGCCTCCCTCTGTTACCGCTGGCACCTCTTGCCCTCTCTCATGCAAGTCACAGAGCACACCCTAGCAAAAATAGCCACAACCACCCTGCTAGTCACTCTCCTATTTTTACTTAATCACTTTATTTTTTTATTGATAGTTGTGAATTTATTGACATTATTTTATTTTATTTTTAATTTTTAGAGAGAGGGAAGGGAGGGAGAAAGAGAAGGAGAGACACATCAATGTGTGATTGTTTCTCATGTGTCCCCTACTGGGGACCTGGACCACAACCCATGCATGTGCCCTGACTGGGAATCAAACTGGTGGCCCTTCGCTTCACAGGCCAGCACTCAATCCACTGAGCCACACCAGCCAGGGCTATTGATATTTTAATGTTCATTGTTTTGAACTTCTTCTTTTTTCTTATATAATTCCCTTTAGCATTTCATATATAATAGCTTGGTGATGATGAACTCCTTTAGTTTTATCTTGACTGGGAAACACCTTATTTGCCCTTCAATTCTAAACAATAGCTTTGCTGGATAGAGTAATCTAGGTTGTAGGTTGTAGGTCCTTGCTTTTAATCACTTTCAATACTTCTTATCAGTTCCTTCTAGCCTGCAAAGTTTCTTTTGAGAAATCAGTTGACAGTCTTACAGGAACTGCTTTGTAGGTAACTATCTGCTTTTCTCTTTTTGTTTTTAAAATTATCTTTGTCTTTAACCTTTGGCATTTTAATTATGATATATCTTGGCGTGGTCCTCTTTGGGTCCAACTTGTGTGGGACTCTGTGCTTCTTAGACTTGCATGTCTATTTCCTTCACCAAATTAGGGAATTTTTCTTTCATTATTTTTTCAAATAAGTTTTCAATTTCTTGCTCTTCCTCTTCTCCTTCTGGCACCCCTATGATTCAGATGTTGGTATATTTAAAGGTGTCCCAGATGTCCCCTGAGCAGTCTCCTCCTTTTTTAAATTTTTTTCTTCCTGCTGTTCTAACTGAATGCTTTTTCCTTCCTTGTGTTCCAAATCATTGATTTGATTCTTGGCTTCATCCCCTCCACTGTTGATTCCCTATAGATTTTTCATTTCATTTAATCCAACCTTCATTTCTGCTTGGGTTTTTTTTTATAGCATTGAAGTGCTCAATGTGTTCCTTGAGCATCCTGATAACTGGTGTTGTGAACTCCGCATCTGATAGGTTGCTTATTTACATTTCATTTAGTTCTTTTTCTGGAGTTTTGTTCTGTTCTTCCATTTGGGCCATATTTCTTTGTCTCCTCATTTTGGCAGCCTCCCTGTGTTTGTTTCTGTGTATTAGGTACAGCTGCTTTGACTTCCTGTCTTAGAACATCTGTTAAGTTGGATGGGGCAGAGCCTTAGGTAATCGCCGGAGTAAGACAACCCGTGTCACCCCTCTGTTGCTCTGTGTTGGACTCATAGAGGGGACAATGCCACTGTCTGCCCTCCGGAGTTTTGCAGGGGAGGAGGCCATTTCCCCACTCAAACTTCACTTTCTCCCCATATGCTACTGGTGTCCTTCCAGCCGTTGCCGTGGTGCCAAATCCAAGAGTGGGTAGGTCTTCATGAGACCTAAGTACATTGCGGGACCTTTAAGAGAATGTAGTTTGTTCTGCTGCCCCAACCCCCAACTGGGTTTTACAGCCAGAAGTTATGTGGACTTAACTTCCTGGTGCTGGGTAGTCTGGTCTGGGGCTGGGGTCCCTCTCTCCTGAGGGACCCCTCCCATTTCTTATCCATGCACACATGCATGTAGGACCACCCATCCTCGTCTTCATGCTTCTCCATGTGTCTGTCCCTCCAGCCTGTCTGGAATGAATGTGGCTTCTTTAAATCCTTGGTTGTCGGACTTCCACACAGCTCAATTTTCTGACAATTGTGGGTGATATTTGTCTTGGAGGGTAGTTGCATTTTTTTTCTATTGTTATGGGCACAGGCACATCATGTTTACCTATGCCTCCATCTTGACTAAAATCACTTTATTTTTATTTAAAGCATTTATAACTACCTGAAATTATGCTGTGTGTGTGTATATGAATTTATTTCTTGTCTTTCTCACTAGAATTTGAATTCCATGAGAGCAAGAACTTCACCTATCTTAAAGGCTTCTTTCCAGCATGTAAAACTGTACCTGACTGACCATAGGGTTCAAGAAAGACTTGCTGCATGAAATTCATAATCGATCTGAAACTCTTCATTCTACTATATGTAAAAAGGGGATAGTAATCCACGTCAACTGTCTACTCCTCAAACAATAAAATGAAATGTGTTAAAGCACCTCATAATGAAGTTTCCTGACACAAAAGAAAGCTGTGGTAGCACATACACACGTAAATACATGAATTGTTAATGATAGCCTGGAGCATAAATGCTTCATTCATACTTGCTGGCTCTATTTTTATTTTTAATAGAAAATATACTTGCGAAATACTTACCCAACTATGCAATATCTAAATGCCTGAAAGAATCTATCCAGGATCATATTCTTCAGGAGACAAAAAAAACAAAAAACAAAAACGAACCCCGACAAACCCTGAAGATTGGGTTAGCTGACATATAAGACACAGAGAAGTTTAATTCCTGAAAAAAAATTTAATTGGAAAAGAACAAAACTAAAATTCAGTGTTTTGAGCTGAATTGTGGCTCCTCCAATTCATATGGTGAAGTCCTCACCCTGAGCACCTCCGAATGTGACCGTATTTGGACCCAGGGTCTTTAAAGAGTTAACTGAGTTAAAATGAAGTCATTAGGGTGGGCCTTATTCTGAAAGATGACTGGCCCGCTCATAAGAAGAAGAAATTAAAACACATTAAAACAGAGGAAAGACTATGTGAAGATACAGCAAGAAGATGGCCGTCTATAAGCCAAGGAGAGAGGCTGAGTAAGAAACAAACCCTGCCAACACCTTGATCTCAGACTTCCGGCCTCCAGAACTGTGAGAAAGTAAATTCTGATGTTTATCTGTGGTACTTTGTTATGACAGCCCTAGAAAACTAATACACTTAATTGTTTTAGAAACCAAGAGAAAAATCATTGGAAAAGAGTTTCATAAAAATGAGATAAGCACACTAAAATAATCCTTATATTTTACTTCACTTTCATCATTTATACTAAGACATTAACTTTAATTAGAGTTGTCTAAGTATAAATGTGAGTTGTTACATTCTTAAACAAATCCAATTTCCTCGCCATATCTCATATTCTTGCTGAGAGAACCTACCTTTCACAAAGCAGTCATAGAAGATTTATCTAGTGCCAAGCACAGAAGCTACAGATTCCACTTCTTTTCACATCTAGGTCCATCATGAATTCCAATTATTTTAATTAATAGAAACAATTTAAAAGTCAACTGCATCATACTCACTGACATAGCCTATCTCAACTTCTCAGGAAAATATCCTTTGAAATATAAAATAAACATGAAAACATACAAATTACCCTATTTCTATACACTAAGTGGAATTTTTACTATGCCTGGTACCATTGGCCTTATAGTGGAAAGATATATTGTTGTCTAGAAGGTGTAGCTTCTAAAATACCTAAGATAGGAACAGGGACAGAAAGACTTTTATAAATTCTTGACTTTCTTTATGAATTAGGAGGCCAAGGTCAGAAATACAGTTGCTTTTCATGCTAACATGTGAGTCTTGTCACTCACAGATAAAGCCCAGGTCTTTCCTTACCTGTACCTTTTTTTATAATTTTTAATTCTGGTAAAATACATATAACACAGAAAACTTACCATATTAACCATTTTTAAGTGTACAGTTCAATAGTGTTAAATGTATTCACATTGTTGAGCATCCAATCTCTAGAACTTTTCATTTTGGAAAACTGAAACTCTATACCCACTGGATAGGAACTGCCCGTTCTCCCCTCCCTCCAGACCTTGGCAGCCACATAATGCTGAGTGAGGCATGTGGGGGAAATGACAAAAAAGTAAATAAAAGTCAAGGCTAAAGATCAGGAAAAATGACAAGGGATGGAATTTGACTCACAAAATCTGTTTCAAGTTTTCCCATTTCTTGCTTGTAGCTTCTCATTCTGTTGCTGTACATCCCTCGACTTTGGGGTGGTATCTCTCGGACTTCCAAATCCATCTGTTCAAGCTGGAAGGGTGAGGGAAAAAAGTGATTTAAACCATATGCCTATTCTTTACTTTACCAGATGTTTAGAGCCAAAAGGATTTAATTTCAGTTCCTCGTTTTACAGCCGAGGAACTGGGTCCAGGGAGCTAACTGCCTGTGATCAAATAACATGGGGCTACTTTTGCCCTTGATTTTTGTTTAGGTGAACAAATAGTGACTGAGTGCTTATCAAGTGACATGCAGACTACCAAAGTGCTTCCTTTGTCGAGAACTTATATAAAAACAGATGCATTAATCCGCACTTCCTTGATAATAATGATTCTGATGTGCTTGAAGTGTCCTGACGCTCAGTCCAGTCTTCTGACCCCAAACCACCAGAACTATGAGAAGATGAACTAAACCATTATTTCTGACATTAAGCATAAAATGTCTGCCCAGCCTTTGTCATTTGGTAAACGTTCTTCTGGGAAGTCTTTTCTGGTTAGGAAAATCCCATCCCAGCCCGCATGGGATCTCAACTTCCAGCTTGACTTCTCATACTTTATAACTATGCTGATTTGAAAGTAAATGGATACTGTAATATGCTGACTTACACAAAGCTCTCTGAAATCACAGCAGGGCACTTTTTAACCACCTGTTACTATATAGCACTTTGAATACAACACATGAGCATTTAATGGGAAGCAATACAGAAATTATGATGGTTAAGAACAAAGGCTTTTAAGTCAGATGTCTGCGTTCACATTGTGGGCTGCACTACTTACTAGTCATGCAACCTTGGACAGGTTTCTTAACTTCTCTGGGCCTTCCTTTCCTCATTTATAAAAATAGCGTGTCTCTTGTAGGGCAGCTGTGATGATTAAGTGGGGGTAATTCCTAGAACATGCTTAACATAGGGTGTCTTACTAGGTAATCGCTAGATTAATGTTAACTATATTAATGATGATTACTGATGAAGAAAAAAGATACAACAAGCATGGTACAAGGTATCAGAGGTAACTTATTTATATTTGGTATTAAAAAATAAAAACAACAAATTGGCTAAGACCATGTCTGATAAAGTCACATCCAAAAATAGCACTGTATATTTTTCCTTTTATAATATTTTACTACATATTTTCATGAACACTGAAAACTTGTCACTAATAAAACTGTTATCCAGTTTTAGAGACTGACTAAATATAGCATTGCAGAACATACTATATGTTCTACATACAAAGCCACTAAAACCAAGTGTTAATTAATAGGCCTCAATTTTAATAAAAAGAAGGCAATTTTAATCAGGCTTGATCGAAGTGACTGTTTAAATTATTGACATGTCGCAACATAAATATGAAGTACCCATACATTAAATAGTAAGGCAACTATTTAAAGCACTTCTCTGAAATCACTATTAAGTATTTATTCTAACAAGGTGAATAGGATCATCCAGACAAAATCATTGAAAGTACACATAAGTGAAAATCCAAGACTTGCGTATACTTTTATTTAAAGAATTCTACAAGGACACTTAAAACTAAACCAAAAGTGGGCAAGAAAGAAAAAAGGAAACATATAACAAGCACTTCAAATGAAATCAGGAATAAAAGTAATTAATATGTATTTGTTTCATGTTGTCACAAGACATTCACATGGCCAATGTGAAATGGAAGACATGATAATTAAAAACCTTGCAGTATCCTAGAGATTAATATAAAACAATTATTCAGCAGAGAGATAACTAATCCTAATAAGCCAAATTTTAAAAAAAGTTTTTCTCCCAAGGTCCTCATCAAAAGCATAGTATGTAATATAATGAACAGTGTTCGTAACAGGGATGCCATCAGAATTAAGTAAATCAGCTCTCTTATCACTTTAAACAAACATGAAAACATATCGTAGACAAAATTCTTTATGCTAGTAACAATTAAAAATGACTATAAGCTCCACGAGGGTACAGCTACGTTTTATACTTCTTGGTGTAGTAACACCTTGATTATCAGGAGACCAGCTTTCCAACATCATCAAATTAACAATGAATCCAAAAGAAGGCAGCCCTGTCCAGGTGGCTCAGTTGGTTGGAGCATCACCATCCTATACACCAAAAGGTTTGCTCTCCTGATCCCGCACCCCCTCCCACCTCCCCTGCCCCAGCCTCAGGGCACAAACCTCAGTTGCCTAGGTTGCAGCTGGATCCAATTGAGGCGTGTACTGGAAGCAACCAATCAAAATTTCTCTCTCATGCTGACCTCTCCCTCTCTCTCTCTCTCTCTCTCTCTCTCTCTCTTCCCCCCTCCCCCTCTGCACCTCTCCCTTCCTCTTTCTCTAAAATCAGTAAGCATATCCTCAGGTGAGCTTTTTTTTTTAAAAAAAAGGCAAAAAACTAAAACACAAATTTTGATGGCAAAAAAACTGCTACTGAGAACTCAACAACAATATAAGATGTCAACTCAAGATCCAAAAGATCTTTATGGCAAGCCAGCCCACCAACTGGAAGGAGATGTCCTGTTTGGCAGCTGTGGTCTGTGAAAGGTACGTCTTTGTACCTGAAGGCCAGAAGGCCAGAAGCAGGAGAGGAGTAGTTGAATAAGAAGGGAAGGGGACTGACGGGGAGGGAAGGGGCATTTAAAAAAAAGAGGAAGCTTTCAAAAGACAGGCAAACATTAGAAGCTGTGGAGACTGGAAGTGAGGCTGTCACTGTGAAGACAGCAGTAGGTCTTCTAGGGTATGGAGAGCCTCAGATGTTCTGACAGTCAGAGAAGAACCAGCAACAGAGGAGACAGAGCAGCAGCTCTGCAACTCACCGTCTAAGTGCTCGGAGGCATAGAGGGCATGTCTACTGTGCAATGGGAACAGCAGCCAGTTACTCCTATACACGCCTAAGCAGCAGCCCATGCGCCCGCCCCACCCACCTCTGCCATGTCCGGGTCCTGTTAATAAATGTTACTCAGCCTGAGAAATAAGCTTGAAAAATGCTCCCTGCTCAGGCTGCCCCCTATAGTCCTTTCTTAGAGATTCGTAACACCTCTTAGCCTACTTAGGGCTCAAGAAGGTTCTGTAGAAAAACAACCAAGTCAGTCCCCAACCTCCAACTCTGTTTAAGCTACAGTCTCCCAGACATATTTGAATAGATAACACCAGTTAACAGAAACACACTTTGGGAAACATCCTAAGTATATGAATAAGTAATACTGAAGGAACACCAAGTAGACTCTTACTATTTAAAAAAGCAACACACTCATTTAGGACCACAATGCAATAACAAGTTGAATCATACTTTCAATATTTGACTTTTAAAATAAAAAATCGGGACAATATTTTTTTATTCTCTGATTTGTAAATGTATTTATATTAAAAAGTAGTGAATGAGCTAGAGCTCTGAGTTTATATACATATAAATTCTAACTCTACCACTTAGTGAGTATGGACTTCAGACAAGTTACTTAACCTTTCTAAGCCTGAGTTTCCCCATCTACAAGATGCGGGGAGGAGGTAATGACAGTGTTGAAAAATCACTCCTCCACGGTTTTCTCAGACTCCTCTAAGTCTCGCCGGGTACGCCGAGAATGCAAGGCCCTAACCACCCTTTTCCCTGGACATTTCTCAGTTATATTTGCAGGGAACAGTTTGGGAGGAGGAACTAGCGTGTCCCTCTGGGACAAAGAGCAGGGCTGCTTGCAGGCTGCTGAAAAGCAGTATGTTTCCCAGGCTCTGTGTTCCTCTCCTGCAGGACATTCCACTGAGGTGGCAGGCACACATCTAGGGCCACCTGTATCACTGCTGTGGAAACTGGGGCTCAGGGAGATGATACGAAAATGTTCAAACTCTGGCAGCTGCTTTTGTCGTGAGTAATAAAAGTCTTTTGTCTCTGACCTAGGAATCTCATGTCTTCTATCAGCATCCATGAAATTATGCCAAGTTCAATTATTAGTGAGCAAGCAGAAAAAAATATCAGATCTTTGACAGTTTTTGACAAACAGCACTTGTCTCACAGAGTTTTTGTGAAAAGTAATACTATAAAGCAAGTAATATGCTTACCACTGTGTCTGGTACCCAGAATGTTTTTTAACAAGCATAAGCTATTATAGAAAGTATTATTAAGGAATAAAAATTAGAGCTCAACATTTAATGAATCACTTTTTTAAGAAAAATAAAACCCAAGAAACTATTAAATTCTCTTCAATTTAAAAACAGATGCATTTTAAATTATAAAATGCTAATTAGCCATATTTCACATTTCTTTAATGCATAAAACAGGCTAGCAGAAGGCATCGGTTTAAATGACACTGGTTGTGTGTTAAAATACATTACTGAGTCTGTACATACCAGTTCTCTTGCTTCTTCAAGCTGTTTCTCCACATTTGCAACCATCTGTTTCTTCTCATCTGAAACAAACAATATCAGAAAACTGCTAAAAATATAAATAACTTTTTTTTTAATGTCTGCACAGGCAGTTTTTTAATATTTGTTAAGTTTTATTTATTTTTAGAGAGAGGGGAATGGAGAGAGAAGGAGAGGGAGAGAAACATCAAGTGTGGTTGCCTCTTATGCGCCACCAGGTGGGGACCTTGCCTGAAACTCAGGCATGTGCCCTGACTGGGAATCGAACTGGCGACCCTTTGGTTCACAGACCGGCACTCAACCCACTAAGCCACACCAGCCAGGGCTAAAATATAAATAACTTAATATTTAAAAACCTCTATTTTTATATACCTTTTTCCTTTCTGTTCAATCAGATTAGATAATTACTATATCAGGCAACTGACCATATCATTCTTTGGTGCATTAGCAACTACTCTAAAGCCATTAATTCTAGGCTACCTGGAAATATATAATTTAATGGAGTACCTAGTGATTAAGAGATGCCATACATTTTAAAGAGAAACCAAAAATATTGTTCTTTAGAAAAGGCTGTGTCAACAACAGCAGATTTAGTGGTAGCATGAGGAATCTGCAAAGTCTTAACTAAAATAAACTGGGAATAACTGATTTACAAATACCATTTAAAACCAGGGACCCACAGCCCAGGCACATGCCCTGACCAGAATCGAACTGGTAAGTTTTCGCTTTGCAGGACAATGCCCAACCCACTGAGCCACACAGGTCAGGACTGGACTATCTTTAGCTCAGATACGCTGATACAATGAAGTTACTTTTAAAATGGGAAGTGCTAAGTCTCTGCATGTGGTTTACTCAAACTCTACCAAAATCAAGTTATAACCGAACTGTAATTCCCTTTTCCAGGAGAAGACATGTCCTGGCAATCATTTTCAGAAAACATTCCCCGACTCCCATTCCAAATCATTTGTTTTAGTTGAAGTTGGGTGTCTGTGATGTGGAACCTAATGATTACTGACTGACTAATACAACAGACCAGAAAAGTTGTGAAGCTTGAGATGAGTATAACAGCTACTAGCTGACCAGCCCTTCGGGAGGACGGTCAACGCTAAGTGGGGACTCTTAAGTAACAATTATTATTTTACCAGAATAATAATTAGGTTCTGCTACCCCAAACCTTTCTTTTACAGGCCAGCTGTCATATAAGGTATTTTGTGTATACTCTAAATATGTTTCCATAAAAAAAACACACACACACACATTTGGAATTATGATTCAATCTGATTTTTTCCTCTTTGAAAAAGTTAAACCTACATATGGCCAAATTAAAATTTTAGTATCAGGTCCCAAATTTATTTGCTTCTGGCACATGTCAATCTCAACAAGATACAGTGAAACCGCACTGTATTTTTGTGATGGAGCAGAATATAAATGAAGACAAAGCCCATCTTGGGCCAAGAGTGAGAGTTCATATTTAAAGATCAGAAGGAGCATCTTGGCTTCTTTAAGGTACTCACTTGTTAGGCAAGTCCATGCCACGGGCCTCCAGGAGTAACAGACATCAGTTTTTCTCGTTAACAAAGCAAACAAAAAAAGCAGCCTCCCTCGACCTCTGCTCCCCTTCGCTACTAACCCCTCTCCCCTCTCAGCCACAGTCACATTTCCCTTCCCCATCTCCCCCGTTCCTCCCTGTTCTCTTGCCCACACCCCACCCTTCCACTGAAAGGACTCACTTAAGACTCAGACCTTTCTTTTGCCCAAACTATTGGACATTCTTTGTTCTACTTTTATTTAATCTTGTGGGATCTCACGTTCTGCTCCACCCATCCTGTCACTTTCTCCTTTTCTGGCTTCAACGACACATCTATCTCAGTGTCCTCTGCTGGGCGTCCTCCTTTTCAGCCCATCCTTTAGCTTTCGGTGTTCCTCGTGGTCTAGTCCTTCCTTTTGTCTCTTGTCCCTGGGCAATACCATCTGCTCCCATTTATTAATCATCATATTATCTATTTATGATCCTAAATCTTTGTCACTGATCCTGATATTATTCCCAGGACTCCGTCCCTTTAATCCCAATGCTATGCCCACCTCCACTGTGATCGCCTGGCGAACTGCTATTCAACACTCTCTTCAGAAATCACTGCCTCTGGGAAGCCTTCCCTAACCCAACCAAAACAGTCAACCACTCTCACTTACATAAAACACCTATAACTTCTACCTGACTTTAATTACTTGTCTCTCACGCTTATGGGTCTGATTTACCTTCTATCCTGGACACTCTAGGAAGATAGGAAGTGACTCTTAAACATCTTTATAATCGTAAAATCCAGCACTGAGCCTACAATATAATCAATTCTCAAAAAGTGGTATTAATAAAATAAATAATGTAAGCCAGTGCAAGCATTCATGAAAGCAGCTATGCTACCCACCGCCCCAGCTTCCTGGTCTCCACTCCAGTCCCTCCTCCCCCATTTAACCTTCCTACGAGGTTGCTTTGAGTGGATCACCTGAGTCTAGCAGTCTAGGTCCTCCACATTCCCAAGCAACCCTTCCAACTTGACCTCCAACCATTAGCTCTCCAGTGTGTACTCTATATGCCAACCAAACAGACCAGCCATGACTACCCAAACCAACCTTCTTTTTTCTACTCTCTGCTTTTCTTCAAGCCACCATTTAGGGTTCTTGGGTCTATAACAGAACTAATTCTGGTTAACCTAAGCAAAAAAAAAAGGAATTTATTAGAATAACATGGGGTCGCTCAGCAAGTCAATAGAAAAAAGAGCCCACAAGCTCCAGGAGGACAGTACCCAGGGTGGCCCAGGGTTCGCAGTGGGCAGAAACCCACGGACTGTCCTGCAATAAGGAGTCTCGAGCAGCAATACCATCGGTTAGCATTCACTATCCTTCGGAAGGGCTCTCTCCTTGGCTCACTGTGCTCCAAATTTAAATTCCCAGCAAAAATCCTCTGGATGTCCTCGCTTGGGTAATGTGTTCACTTCCTGACCTGGACAGGGCACGAGAGCCAGTCAGTTCCACCAAGACTGGGTTTAGGTAGTTCCTTAATGGGAAATGGAGGTGCTGCCATCAACAAATAAAACAGAGGATTCTGGGCAATCTGAAACAACAGATGCCCAGTGCACCTGCTTATTGCAATCTCTGATAATATACTCGTCCCTTGGTTTTATCCGTTGAGTCCCACCTACCCCCGATGGGATCCCCTGGGACACAATTCATCTCCTCTGAATCCCTAGCCCTCTGTGCTCTGTGCTAGTGGCCTTGGTGGTTGTGGGAAATTGGTTTCTATGGTTTTCTCTTCAGTCTCATTTCCAGCTCCATGAAGGCAGAGCCCGCTCTTGATACATCTTTGTTCGAACTCTGCATTCAGCACAGAGAGCTGTGCATGGTAGGTGCTCCCTAAGTAGCAATGACCAGGTGTGTGTCAAAATCTTCGTTTTTTTATACCATTTTTCAACAAAAGGAAACAGGACTCCTTGGGAAATGGCTGATCCTAGGACAGGTGTACGAAAAATACAAGATGATTCTGGAATATCTTCTAACAGGTAAGAAGCTGAGAAAGAACTTCAAGGGAAAAGCAACCCCACATGATGGGGTATATCAAAAGGTGACAGAGGCCAACTGAAAGGGCTTTCAATGGTCAAAGCTGGAATGATCGGAGCAACAAAATAAAGTAGTACTGGAATGTAATACAAAGTACAAAATAAGTATCCTGAGTCTATGGATATAAATGACTAAATAAGTAAGTAAATTGAGACTAGACAAAACTCTCCTGTAAAGAAGAGTTCCAAATAATTTACATAGATACTAAGTGTTTAAGGAGGTGGGACACAGCTCCCCATGCCTTCAGTTTAGGCTATGCGTAGGCTTTCTTTCTGGACAGTACGGGAAAGGAGGAAAATAGAAACTTTACAGTAAAGAAACCTGACAAACACTTCCTCAGCCAGGTGAGCACAGCTCTCACCCGTAGTGAGTTATGTTACACTGTGTACTTTTGATACTGTATGATGAAAATGGTGATTTGCCTCTGTGGTCTTCCTCCCAAAAAACTATAACCCCAGTATGACCATGAGAAAAACATCAGGCAAATCCCAACTGAGGTATGTTCTATGAAATATCTGACCAGTTACTCCTCTAAACTGTCAAGTCATGGAAAATAAGGGGAAGGCTGAGAAACTGTCACAGCGAAGAGGCACCTCTGGAGCGTAACGACTGAAAGTTTCGCAGCGTCCTGGATTGGGCCCTAGAACAGTGAAAGGACATTAAATAAAGAACTAAGGAAATCTGAATAAAGGAAGGATCTCAGTTAATAATAATGTATCAATATGGGTTCAGTGGCTACAACATATTTAATATAACAATAGAGTAAACTGGGCATTGGGTATAGAGGGATCCTCTGTATGATCTTTTTGACTTTTATATAAATCTAAACCTGTTCTAAAATTAAAAGCTTATTTTGAAAAATCAATGAAGTAATTACTTAGGTTAACTAAATTGTTGAAGGGGGAGAGGTTCCCCTGGGATTAGAGTGTGGTTGTTGTATGTACCGACCTCAAATCCTACCGACTCTACTTCAACTCACTGTGCACCTGAACTTCTGAATGAAAACTGGAACCATCTCTTCAATTCTGACTCTCTAGAACAACAGAAATGTAATGCATGCAAGTCACATGTAATTTTAAATTTTCTAGGACCCACATTTTAAAAAAATAAAAAGAAACAAGTGAAATTAGTTTTAATAATCCTTTTTGTTATAATAACATTTAACCCAATACATCCAAAATAGTTTCATTTCTGTCCGTGGCAATAGCCACATTTCAGGTGCTCTAAAACACGTAGACACTCAGTGCCAGAGCCATGTGTGTTTTAGGCAAACCACAGTGCTCATAAATAAAAGCAGACTTTTCTCAAGTCTCTCACTACAACCACCCTGCAAGGGCAAGAAAAAAATCATGGAACATTTGTGGCTTCTTCCATACGTAGCTATGCCTGGTCTCCAGAGGCTCCAGGGCTTAACATGACCTCATCAGCTAGCCTTGAGCATTTCCTCCCAAAAAGGACACTGTCTTGTCCCAAAACTTCTATTTCTCTTCTCTGACTCCTTCCTTGGTGTCCCAACTTAAAATTCCAATTCCAATTCCATATCCTGAAGCCCCTGATCATTTGTCTCCCTTTAAGTGGAGGTGTTCACCCACAGGGACTCACCTAACCCTCGTCTAGGTACAGAAAGGAAGCAAGAATTGAGGTCCAAGGTTCCTTTAAAAGTTCAATTAACATAAAAAAGTCTGAGGAGGTGGGTCTTGACTGACCCTACTAGCTCTTGTCTCCAGCAGCAACACTAACATCCACCAATAATGGCTAATTCATCATGTCCTTTCTCTGGGGAAAAAATGTGCTAGTATGTTACTTTCTTTATTTCATCTGATTTTACAATATTGTAAGTTTGAAACTAATTCTCCATTCTTCTCCCAGTTTTACAGATGGAGGAAGCAGGCTTAGAAAGGCCAAGCAATCTGCCCAAGATTGCACATCTAGTAAATAGAGAGGGGGTTCTAAAAAGATCTGATGCTATGTGTGAACAAATTCTAACCAATTTGCCATAATGCCTTTCTTGGCATTTCAGACTTATAGCCACTAAGTGATAGTATTCATAACAGACCATTTATCACTCTGTGAATGGTGAGATATACAACTAACTGCAAGAGAACATTTTAAGATCCTTCAGGAAGCCTGCCTAATGTAATGAAACCTCACACCTGTAAAGTATCCCTCTAACTTAGAATTCATCCCCAGGGAAAAAGGAACTCCTCAGTTAGTATTAGTTATGGTTTCCATGCATCCATCCCTGGCTTTACCAGAGAACACTACTCATTAAAATCACATTTCAGATACAGAGCCACAGAGTATTACCTAAGAAGAGAATGATCCATCTCATTAGTCCAACTTATAAAATTAGTCAAGATTCAAACACTCGAGTCTAAGAGCAAAGTCTTTTTATTGTTTAACACATATCACAGAGCAATCAGATTTCTCTTTATAATAAAGTTTTAGAATATTCAATCTTTTCTATCCTCATTGGAAGTAACATGTTGATACATTGTACATGCACAGCAGAGAGTGAAGTTAATTGCAATCGATCCTACTCTCCTTCAGTTTTTTTATGATTTTATTCATTTTTAGAGAGAGGAAGGGAGGGGGACAGACAGGGAGAGAAACATCAATATGTGAGAGAGATACATAGATCTGTTGCCTCTCGCTTGCCCCCAACTGGGGACCTGGCCTGCAACCCAGGTATGTGCTGTGACTGGGAATCGAACCAGCAACATTTGGTTCACAGGCTGGCACTCAATCCACTGAGCCACACCAGCTAGATTTCTACTTCAATTTAAATAAGTTAGTATGTCAGAGGATGAACTTCTCTGGCTAAAAAGTTTGTTCCAATTCTCAACCGTCTTAACTGAAGTAAATCATAGTTCATCTTCTCCAGGTCAACCACTAAAGATGCCCAGAGAAAGAGATTATAATTATTTTTAATCATACTGTTTTTGCTATATTAATTCTTGTTAGTCCACAGACATACATCTGAAAGTCGTAGCTACATAGATATAGTTTCATTTTTTAATTTACCAATTAGAAAACAGATGATAAAGTGAGCAAGCATAAGTAATTATTAGGAGAGAAGCCACTGCGTTTTAAAGAAATACTAGTATTCGGTTATTCAAGTCAGCAGGCCCTCTTCCAGGGCCAACCATACAGTCTCCTTTCAATGTCGCTGTAGCTGCTGTTTGGGCCTTACATTACATTATAGCCAAAGAGAGTCAGGCTTTACTTTTTAGATACTTAATCCCACGGTTTCCTTCTACCTGGTAAGAATGGTTACATTAAAATATAAGGACAGAAACAAATAAATTGTGATACAACCTGTTTCCTTGGAAACAGTTTTTACAACTCTGAACCTAGGGATGACTTTGTTACTTTATAACATAGCTTCCAAGTACAAAAGCAATTACCTCAAACAAACAAAGTTTCTATTGCTAAAACTATTGCAATTGAAAATGAGCAAAAATCCAACTAAAACCACAAATCCTCAAATTCTGAGGCTCTGGGACTGAAATCAAAGGATGTAGTCTCCAACAACAAAGACAACAAAAATCAAGATGATCTTGGGCAGTGGAGAAAAGCAGAACTGAAGAGAAGAGGCGAGGTGATGTATCATGAAGTGGTGAGGCGATCAGCCACTTTCTCCACAAAAATCTCTGAGGCAGCAGAGCTCGGTGGTATAGGCTACCTTGGTTCTCTCCTCTTGTTCCCTCACTTGAACTCATAAGACTCTTTAAGACATCATCCACCTCCTCCAGAACTAACTGAGACTTCAGAAGATGAGTGGGGTGTAAGTTCAGAGATCCTGGCTTCAAGCAAATATCCCTATTAATAGAAAATAGGTGGGAAAAGAAAAACAAAGAAATAAAGGAAAAAGATTATTTATAAACACATAAGTTTGGGGGAAGGTAGGGAAAGGGAAAGAGGAATGACAATTTGGGTCCAGGAGCAATTATTGCCCGTGTCAAGGACTGAATAACAAGGTGAGATAGTGAAGTTTCCCACCAGCTCCCAGATCCATGAGCACTCCTTTTCCTACACTTTACACCCCAGAGCTAAGGTAGGACCAAGTCTAGCTAAGGACTGCTCAATTTCCCTAACACAACTAAGCCAAAAAGTAACAAGCTTATCTGGAACCCACTACTCAAATTAAATCTGTATTTAGAGAAACATAAATCCCAAAACAATGTCTTACAAACAAAAATCACAAAATATCGTATTTATATATTTGTTTATTCACTTAAATATTATATCTGAGTCCCTTCTAAATAAATATCAATGAAATCAAACACTACTGCCACTTTCACACAGCTGACAGTCCAGCATGCTAAAACACAAAAACAAAAAACACTTCTGGATGGAAGTTGCGGAATTTTAAAAGTGAGAGAGATTATTCTGTACCAAGTTTTACATAAAATGGGGTTACAGACTCCCTCAAGAGGAATGAGAAATAATGAATGGGGTTGGGTATGAAAAATACTAATGATATTAGCAGTTTACACCAAAGAAAGGCTTTACATATGTTAAATAATTTAAACTTCACAACAACCCTATGAGAGACCTACGATTCACCCCATTTTACCAAAAAGGAAAGTTGAGAGAGTTAAGAAACTTGCCTAACTGTCGAAACTTCTAAGTAGCAAAGCTGAGATTTGAATTCAGGCACCGTGGCTCTTAATCCTATTTAGGGGCATGCAATAATATCATTACTATTACAACAAGATCAGACCCATAATCTTTCATTCATTCTTTTTTGAACACTCCCGCATCCCCGTTTTACAAACGAGAACCAACAAGCAAAAATAAAAACCAAAAAACAAAACTAAGACTCAGAGAAATATCTCCAAGATTATGCAAGGAACAAGGCGGCGGAATTCGGACTGAAGCCCAGAAGCGTTCTGTTTACTGCACCCCACAACCCAGCATGGACTGTCCCTTTACTCAACCAAGTCAAGCTCCATCCCTCCGGCAGGGCCCCAGCACCACCTCCTTCCAGCCTCGAGCTTCAGAGACACACTAGCTCAGGCGTTCCATCACCGGAGCCCCGGCTCTGCGAGCCACCCTCGCTCAGCCGGGGCGGGGCTCTTACCCGGTGGGAGTCGAGGGACCCTGGCAATCTTGCTCGTGATCTCTGCAGTGAGCACCGCGAAGTCCTGCTCGTAGCCTTCGAAATCGGACGACATGACGGCTCCGGAGTGTCAGGCCCGGGCCGGAGCCTAGGTCCGGGCAGGGGTCAAACAGAGTAGGGGAACACGGTGTAGGAACCCTGGGAACCGCCCTCGAGAGCAGAGCGGAGAACCCGGGACAGCTCCCAGCCCGGCCGCTTCCTGGTTGTCCGTCGCAATCTCGGTCCCCCGGAAATTGAGTTGGTACGCTTTTTATTTACCTCTCAGGCTTCAAAATTAACAAATCCTCTAAGGAAAAGCATGTTAGCTAGTGAGCCCAAAAGCCTCCAAAAATATTGGTCTATTAACGGAACACTGGTTTTGGGGGTTGTTTTTTCTTTCACACCTCCACGGTCTGGAATGAGGCTCCAGCTCCCCAAGCCACAGATCGCAGGGGCTTGCTTCCGGTGGACAGTTTGCTGCGGCGAACCTTCCGGAAGTGGCTGTCCTGGAGACTGCGCACACAGCCAGAGCTGGAGAACTGCGGCTGGATCGCTGGCGGAGAGGGTTGCGGGTGCTGTCGGGTCCTGCACCGCAGCCTGTAGCAGCCAGGATTTGCTTTTTGCTTGCTGTGGATTGAGGTACCCATGATGGAGTTACCCGAAAAGGAGAAAAGCTGTTCCGGGTGAGTCCAGGCCGCCCCGGAAACGCGATGGCCGAGGAGCGGGCACCAAGGACCAGATTGAGGTGGGCGTTAAGGCAGGGAACGTAACCATGGTTTTGGCGGTCTTCACTCCACCCGAGTGAGGCCAGAATCTTCAGTACTTTGGGACCAACCAGGCTTACCAGGATGTTCCTCCCCTTAAGCGAGGATTTCTGAAAGCTCCATCTCGTGACACGGGCGGGAAACAGAGGCACCAGGCAGCGGCATCCGTTGCGTGGAAGTTATTACCCTGTATCTCAGATCTTCTTCCCTTGACTTACTGCAGTTCATCAGAAATACCCGTCTACAAACCTTCCCCGCGCTCGCAGCAGAAGGCGCTTCCTCTTTTTTTCCTAAAATATTGCCATCCATGTTCCTTTTTCATATACGCCTCCAGTCGCGATTTCACACATACACACCTCTCTCTCCCCTCGCCTTGCACCCTGACTTTGCTTTAATTCCCTCGCTTCCTTACCCTTGGCCCTTTCGTTGGTGTTTTGGGGGCAGCCTCAGACAAATAATGTAGACCACGTCTCACTCATACTGGACTTAATCCAAGACTTGGTAAGAGGTTAGTTTACAAGTCCCTAAACGGAGTTGAGTGACTTGGTTCAGCTGTTAGGTTTGACCTTGATCTAGCCACCTCACCTCTCCAAACCAATTTCTATGAAGGAAGCTGGGTTAGATCAACTCTAAAGCTCTAAAGCGCTCCTTCCCAGCTCGGCAGTTCTTTGTTTCCTCAAACCATTCGCTGAACGTTGAGACCATCACAGTCCCCAGACTGTGGCATTACATATCACTTAGATCTGAACCCTACTTTCAGTAAGGTAAAAATAGTTCTTTTTGGCATTTGGCAAGCTCTTCATCGCATGGTAATGCACTGGAGAGATGCTTTTGTCTAGGTGGTTATTGGAGTTTGGTACGTATTACTTTTTTTTTTTTAACTGATCTTTTCCATTTTGTTTTCTTTAGATCGTGTTTCAAACCAAGATACTGGATTCTCATAGCTCAGATAAAGTGCTCTGACTATGTAACAGTGAAAATGGCATAATCTGCATTCACATCACACAAGTTGAAGACATGACAGTTCAGGAGCACACATGGACTTGTGGCACCGGGAAATGCGTACACAGAAAAAGGGACTCTATAATTCTCTAAAGATAGAAAGGCATTCTTCCTCACCAAAATGGGCTCGTTTTGCTCAGTTATCAAGTTTGAAAACCTCCAAGAATTAAAGAGACTGTGTCACTGGGGTCCCATTATAGCCCTTGGTGTTATAGCAATATGTTCGATGATGGCCATGATTGACTCTGTGTTGTGGTATTGGCCTTTACATACCACTGGAGGAAGCGTGAATTTCATCATGTTGATAAATTGGACTGTCATGATTCTCTATAATTACTTCAATGCTATGTTTGTGGGTCCTGGCTTTGTCCCTCTGGGGTGGAAACCGGTAAGAAAAAGATCCTTTTCAAAATGAACTCTAATAATAATCTACTGATAATTTAGTTTTTGCTTTATCTTCTAACCAATAATATCGCACACATTACTTTTTGCTTTGCTGTAGATTTAAGTATAGTGTCACCACCAGTCATTTAAATCTCAGGTCATTTATTTCACACCTGTTTAAAAAATATTGATCTAAATTTGTATTGCATAAAACAATTTCATTGAGTACTTGTCCTGCATTTAAAAAAAAAATGAAGGGGTGGTGGTGAGTCCATGGTCATAAGTTTAGGAAAAATTGCATGTCACATACACCTTTCTTCTAATGTCATAGTGCAGTTTGGCTGTGGAGTGTTTTTACCTTTAATACATTAACATTCTCAGAACTGAGAAAAACTCTTTAGAAATTGTTACTTTAAGTCAGAGTTTTTAAATCATTGCAGTGAAAACTAGGAAGTCCAGTATGAATCACTTTCCGGCTTTTTAGAATTTGTTAGAAAGTTTATGCTTATGAATTTCCATTGTCTTTGTTGAGGGACATCCCCTGTAGCTTGTTAGAAATGCAGAATCTTGAGCTCCACTTCAGACCTCCTGAGTCGGAATCTACATTTAATAAAACCCTCAGAATGGTTCTTAGATTTTTTAATATTGGAGAAGTACTAGTGTACTATTTGAAGTGAGTAAAGAAATGGGTAAGACAATTCATGTTATGAAAAACCTTGTACCTGGGGAGAGAAATGAGGGCACTTTCTCAAGTAACTGGAGAGCAGGATGTGATGAGTGCTGGTGAAGGCAGAAGGAACTGGTCATTTTCAGCGAGTGACCTGAAATTCCTAGGAGGAGTGGGCATCTCCACAGGAGGTGGGAAGAAGGCATTTCAGGTTGAGAGAATGGGGGGAGTGTGTAATGGACAGATTATGCAGTGCAGATAAGGCTGAAACAAAGACAGATTATGGAAGCCTCGAATACAGGAGAGTTTGTTAGACTCGAGGGAGTTAGAGGTTTTCAAGCAGAGCTCTGACCTAATCAGAGTCATGTTATAAGACTGTTATTTAGACTACCAATTCCGATGTTTGAGTCCCTACTCTAAATACCTGCCAACTTGTCAGCTACCTTTTTTCTGAACTCCTTCCACTCTGATAAGACTTTGGATAAGTGGAGCCTACTGTGCTCAGTGACAATGGATTAGGGTGGAGCATAGGGAAGAAGAATTAAAAATGATTTCTGGGTAATTGGGAGAGTGATGCTGTGTTACCAGAAATTTTTTACTTAAAAATATTTTAGCTCAAATAAAAGGACTGGAAGTGCAAGTTAAGATTCCACCTCTCCCCCATCCCCCATGAAAGAAAATTAAACCATAGGAAAGCATTTACTCACAAGGCATGTAATTACTTAAAATTAAAAGATCTGATGTATTTTTTGTTTCTATTTTGCTGCCCAGGAGAATTCTCAGGATTGCATGTACCTCCAGTATTGTCAAGTCTGCCAGGCGTACAAAGCACCGCGGTCACACCACTGCCGAAAGTGTAACAGGTTCTGTCTCTCTGCCATTCATCGGGGACTGATCAACTTGATGACTTTTGTTCCTTCTGCTATATCAATCCTAGTGTTATTCTCTGCAAGGTGGCTACTTTATAGAAAAAGTACTGTCAAAATACTTGTGTCCATAATGCCCATTTTATTCTTGAATTATCAATTCTGATAATAAATACATCTCTTTTGTTACACGTGAAAAGATTTCTTTTTAGAAAAATGCAGAATAACTTTGCTTCTTGCCCTGCCAAGAGCACGGTAGAAAGTTTTACCTTCAAGTCATTTCCATAGGTCACGATTAACAGTGGATGTCGACTGTTACCTTGACTAGCTTTAGAACTCTGCTGAGTCCAATTACAGAGGAGAGCTGCTTTTTCCATTATTTAGTTGACCTCACACATTTACACTTTAAACAAATCTAATAAATGAAGTTAGGTGTCTATTAGCACAGTGTTTAGTATAAAAAACTTAATGGGAAGAAAACTGAATCACTACTAAAAATTGTGAAATAAGGTAGAACCTTTAAAAATGAACAGCTGTACCCACTGCTTTGTTCTGAGATTCTACATCTAACGGATGAGGATAGGAAGGAAGGAAGGAAGTTATGAGCCTCTGCTAGGTTCCATGAGCTCCAGTGGAGATTTGTAAGTGATTTTGTTGAGTCTCTATTGTACTCCAGATCAGCCACTGCATTTCAGAGCCAGAAGAAAACCAGGATCCAGGCTCACTTCTTTATAATGAACCTCTCAGTGGGCCTCCTGACTTAAAGAAAAAAAAAAAAACAAAAAAACCACAACTGACAAGGAGCAGGCCTCTTTTTCCTCAGAAGCTGTTACAAAGCCCACCCTTTCTTTCCCTGTTTAGAATTTGAAAGAAGTCACTGTTCAGAGTTGTTTAAAAACTCATAAACCTTTTTCTTTTTGTTCCATGATGTATAATTCCTCTATGACTCATGAACATGCTGGATTCCTATTTGCCTGGTCTTTCGAAGACCAAAGTTATTTAAGGAAGACAGGATTCCCTGCCTCATGGTTTATGTAAATGTTTCCCGTCAGGTGTGTGATGAAGATGGACCATCACTGTCCTTGGATCAACAACTGCTGTGGTTACCAAAACCATGCGTCATTCACACTGTTTCTGCTTTTAGCACCATTGGGTTGTATTCATGCTGCCTTCATTTTTGTTATGACAATGTATACACAGCTTTATAACCGGGTAAGTGAGAATGTTATAAAATCATTCATGCCAGATTAAATATTATTTAATTGTCAATATTATTTACAAAGTCCCTTTTGGAGATATTCTTTCTATGATTTAAATGGGGAAATAGGACTTCACTTTACCTGTACATGGATTCCTTTTAAAAAAGCATTAAAACTTAATTTTTAAAGTGAGGAAAGATGATTTCGCTCTGGAAATTCTCTTTCCTAGCTCCAGTTGAATCAATAATTATTTTAGTGCTATATATATAATTTATTAAATTTTGAACTTGGTGGCTATGGTAAGAATAATTAGAGGGGGAAAAAAGAAGAGCAACAAGCATAAGGCAACACGAGGACTTTCCTTTTCTATCCAGTTCACGGGACAAGTTGTAGTTGCTTTCTTATTCCAGTGCCCTGGAAGGTGTCTCATGGAGCAGGCGCAGTCCTAAAGTCCCCTGCAGCAGATTGAGTAGCCTTATGGGCAGGCAGTCATGAGATGAAGTTCAGGGGTCACACATTCAAGGCCCTAATGAGGCCTGCAAGGTAAACAAGGGACACAGGCCTCACGGGACTGTGGCACTCCGGAGAACATAAGCCCTTCATGGAGAGGACAGCCCATATTCAACTTCAGCCGGCTTTTCCTGTTTGGGAATCCAGCCCCATGATGCTATATCTTGCAGTTTTTGAGGGGGAGAAAAATCTGATTTTTTAAAAATGTGTAATCTCCTGATTTTTTTAAAAGTTGACACTTTTAACTCTGAAACTCTGAATATTTTAAAACATTTTGCAGGCCAGGCAGTAAACATCTACAGGCTGCCTTTGGCATGCATTTTGCCAGTATTTTGTCTTTTTTTTATGTTTTTACTGTAAGGACTTAAAAATTTTTTTTCTTTAATTGATTTTAGAGAAAGAGAGAGAAACATTGATTTGCTGTTCCACTTCTTTATGCAATCATTGGTTTGCTTCTCATATCCCTGATCTGGGATAGAACCTACAACCTTGATATATCAGGATGATGCTCTACGAAGCAGGGTTATCCCTCCAGGCTGTATTTTGACAGTTTTTACCTTCTGGTTGTAGAACATGAGGGAAGAAACAACTGAGTCCTGGCTGTATTTGTTGCTGTGGAAAATTATTGTAAATATAGAGAAGCATTGTCATTTTAATTTGCATCTCTCATGGCTAGTGATGTAGAGCATCTTTTCATATGTCTGTAGGCCATCTGTATGTCCTCTTTGGAGAAGTGTTTATTCAGGCCCTCTGCCCATTCTTTAATTGGATTTTTTGTCTTCCTGGTGTTGAGTCATATGAGTTCTTTATATAATTTGGAGATCAAACCCTTGTCCAATGTATCATTGGCAAATATGTTCTCCCATACAGTCAGTTCCCTTTTCATTTTGATGATGGTGTCTTCAGCTGTACAGAAGCTTTTCAGTATGGGAATTGACTGTGGGAGTTGGGAGTGGTACGAGCGGAGGAAAGCAAAGGGGGAAAAACTGTAATAGAATAACAATAAAAATGATAAAAAATATAGAGAAGCAAGGAGTGGAGGGAGACAGTTACAACTTAGATTATTGTCTAAATTGGTTAACTTAGATTAATGTCTTAAATGCATATTAATGTTCATGGGGTAAGCCTAACACCATCTGAGGATTCAATAAAAAACAACAACAAAAAAAACATTTGAGAATAATTAAGAATGCTGTAGTGCATTATCAATATGAGTACAAGCCACACTGTTAACTAGAAGCAGCTGTGTTTGCTTTGGCCAGATTTCTAGTTATCATTTGTTTATCTTTTTAATTAAGTTGGTTTAATTGTTATCGTAGAGCCTAACTATTTATGACAACTGAGCCTTTCATGTGTGTGCTGTTGTTTGTAGCTCTCCTTTGGGTGGAACACGGTAAAGATTAATATGAGTGCAGCCCGGAGAGATCCTGTTCCAGTTATTCCATTTGGATTAGCTGCATTTGCTGCCACCTTGTTTGCCTTGGGATTAGCTTTAGGAACAACCATAGCCGTTGGGATGTTGTTTTTTATCCAGGTAAGTTCCTCAGTTACTTCTAGCTAAAAGCTGTCAAGTTATGGGGGTGGCTTGTAATGAGAAAGGGATAAAGGCTGCATTTAAGTATGCAGTATGAAATGGATATTGTTATTTATTCCATCCCGGGAACTAATTTAATCTTCTGTACTAGTCAGATAATTTTGGAGTAGCTTTGTCAGAATTTCTAGGTAACTGATTGAATTTTTAAAATGTTGACTTGGAGTTATATAGCTCTTTATAGTTGGGAAAGTTCTTCTCACATTTGTAGCCTATTGATCTTCATGTCAGCCCCCAAAAGGGGTTGAAGACGAGCATTATTTTCTTTTCCTTACAGATGAATAATTGAGTGACAGAAAGTTTAAGTCCCTTACCTAAGATAATTCATTCATATAGTCTGTAAACATAATGGCGGTCATTTTATAATAGCATATATTTAATCAGTATCATAATAATATAGCTAACATTTATTGAACAGTTATTATGTTCAAGACACTGTTTCAGGCACTTTACCTATGTTAGCTCATTTAATCTCACTAACAACCCCATGATATAGGTGTTATTTAATGCCTACTCTGTGATGAATTACTCTGCTAATTTCTGAGGCTTCAGTAATGAAAATGAAGAGGGTCCTACCCCTAGGGAACTCAGAATTTGCATTAAACAGTTAACTAATACATGGTCATGCGTCTGTCATAGGTTTATGTACAAAGTGCTTTGAGAACACAGAGAAGGGAGATATGACCCTGAAGGAATCACAAAGCAGTTTTGACTTATTTCACTCACTTAATAAGTTTATTCATTAATTGAAGGCCCACCGTAGGCTAGGTGTTGTGCAAGGCCCTTGGAACATGATGAGGACTCTTGGTCCAGGGTTGTCCTGAATGTCCTACACTGTCTCTGTGAAGACACAACCAGACTTCAAGGAAATACAGAATTGCTGTAGAATTAGAAATGCTGGGCTTGATAGCCTTGTTGCATTGCTCAACCATTCTTCAGCTCTTAGTTTAAAATAACCTGGTTATGCCCTGGCTGGTGTAGCTTAGTGGATTGAGCACCAGCCTGTGAACCCAAAGGTCAAATCCCAGTCAGGGCACAGGCCTGGGTTGTGGGGTCCCCAGTTAGGGGCATGTGAGAGGCAATCAGTCAATGTATTTCTTGCACATTGATGTTTCTCTCACTCTCTCTCTCCCTCCATTCCCCTCTCTCTAAATAAATAAAATCTGAAAAGTAAAAAAATAATCTGGTTTTGGTTATACTTCAGGTTTTCTACTAGCCTGGGATCAAATTCTTTGATTATTTTTCCCAATGCCTATAATTAAGAATCATATTAGAAATAAACTAAAATTCTGTCAGTGTGAAAATGTCCATAAATGCATTAGTTACATGTAGGAAAATCAAATAGAATTTGGACTGAATATGTTTCCATTTTTAAGGAAAGCAGTATAGGTTGACTGAAATGAGTCACTGTTACTTGTAATAAATAGATTAATCATACATTTAAGGTTAATTAAAATAGTGATGAGATTTTAATATCAAAATACACATAAGTACTGTATTGATCGAAAGGATTTTATCAATGTTTTATTATACTCTGAAAACCTTATTCAGAAAATAATTGTTAAAACATGAATTTTTATTAAAACAATATACGTGGATTTGCTTGTGGAGCGATGCGATCATTTCAGGGAGAGGTGTCACAGTGCAGTGGTTAAGAACAAGGACTTCAGAGTCAGGTGCACCTTGCCCTGTGTTACTTAACTTTTACTGTCCTGGCATCTTTGTCTCTGGAATGGAGCAATTTACACTATCTAATAGGGTTAGTATGAAGAATGATATTAAATGAACCAAAGTTCCATTATAAAATTTTGCTGTCTGTTTTTTAATTTTCAGATGAAAATAATTCTCAGAAACCAAACTTCTATTGAATCATGGATTGAAGAAAAGGTAAATTTAATACTTGTTTTCTTCAATATTAATAAGGGACTGATTAACTAATAGACCAGATTAACTAATAAATGCCTAAAAGTGAAGATGTGGCTACCAAATAGCTTCCTTAAGTCATTTGTATGCCATATAAAAGGTAAATATAAGAGACATTTTTACTTATCCCTGGATTCATATTATACAGAATATTAAAAGGACATCTACTCGAAGGTTGAGGTTTAATAAAAATAATAATTGTTATTGCTTCATGAAAAACATTCTCTGTAAATTTTTTTTCCCAGGGATGTGGGGGTTATTTTGTTTTGAACTATGAGTATGTAGTGGTGAAGACTATAATAACTACTAATAGAGCTTGGTGCCACTTCTTGATTTTTGCTTAAGGTGCCAGCAATTTTACCCACCATTGCAAATGACAACACAATGAAAAAGGCAAATAGCATCTTAGTGTTATAAGGAAAGTTGTTTGACATTGTTGAACCCCAAAGAAAGGTCTTAGAGACTCAAAATGGTATGCACAGCTTGCTTTGAGAACCATGGGTGTGCAGGTTTAATTGTAAGATCCTCAGTTTATACATAATGAAACCTTTCATGTCTTCCCTTACCTGCTTCTTCAGCGGCCCTTCCCACCCCGCTTCACCCCATCTCACGCTCTGAACCAGCCAATTCCAAGTAGCTCGTTGTTTGTACATCTTAACGTTTCTGTATCTTTCTGCACCATGGTTAGAACACTCCCCCCGGCTTCTTTGCCGGAATTCTTGTTCCTCAAGACTTACTTTAGGTGTCTTTCCTTTCCTTCCAAGGAACTTTCCTTGGTTCTCCCTAGACAAAGTTAAGTACTTCTGTTTCTTTTCCTGTAGCACCTGTCATACACCCCTGTCATCTTTTAACATAGAGCGTTGGTAGAAACCCCCCACCCCCACCCCAATAGAGTGCTTTTCGTAGGCAGAGACCATGCCTAGGTCACTTTTGTAAGCTACTCTTATCCTTACCACTTTTTCTTTGCTAATAGCCTAAATCTCTGTTCTCTGAGACTCATCCATTTTGAAGACTCTGAAGCTTTTATTCATAAATAGGAAAAAGAAATTACTCTTTTCTCTCTGGGTGGGGATGGATTTATGCAATTCAGTAAATTCATACATTTTACACGTTGATAATTCTTTTAATTAACATCAACATCACCTTTTAAGTAACTAAAAGGAGCTTTTCTTTAAAATACTGTGCCTTGAAAGTAAAATATTTCAAAGTATCATTTCTTGTTCGCATAATACATCAACATTGGATTAACAATTATTTTGCTAGTGACCAGGCCTCTTTGTAAGTGCCATGCTAAACCTAGGAGTTATTTTAAAACTGGCTCTTTGTTGCTGAGTAAATGTTCAAATAAGCGATCGTATTAAGTTTATGGAAAATTTATCAAAATTACACTAAAATTTATACAACAAATTTCAGCTGCATTTGTTCACTTATTGCAGGAATAAACAAAGTATCTTTACACCACTAGGTGTCAGTGAAACTTAAGAAGATTCTAAGCCAATATCTCCTGTAGTTAAAGCTAACAATTTAAATGCCTAAGATATAACATAAACAACTAGAATATTTATGTATATGCATAAAGTGTACATATAAGTACAAATATAAATAAATATATATGCATGTGTCCTGCTATTAAAAACAGGAGATCTGCACATGCCTGCTAGCTTAAAAAAAAATAATTTCCATAAAATGATGACTTCCCTGCTGCACGTTTCCTGGCTGTTCTCACAGGTGTCACTGTGTTCTGATGGCCCCCACAAAATGGTTCCTTCCATCTGAATAAACCCTTGCTACCTCTTAAATCTGTTTGTCAGCATCCCTTCTTTACACCTGGATTCTTCTGCTGAAAAACAGGAGCGTTGAGAAATACGTATATATGGAATAAAATTACTAACTTTTTTAATATGCATTTTTGATGCTCGTTCCTAAATAAGCCCCGTCAGACATTTTCTGTATGTTCTCATATGAGGTTGGAGTTATGTGTCAAGTTCCTCCAATATTGTGATCAATTTATTAGCTCTTCTGTGTACACTAACATCATAACAAGGAGGAAGCATTTTAGAGAATGACACAAATTTGAGGAACAAATGTTCTCAGCAGTATATTACTAAAAGCCATTTAAAGCACCTGTCATCTTACATCTTTGTTACCCACAGGCTAAAGATCGAATTCAGTATTATCAACTAGATAAAGCCTTTGTTTTTCCTTATGATATGGGAAGTCGATGGAAGAACTTTAAACAGGTGTTTACCTGGTCAGGGGTCCCAGAAGGAGACGGACTGGAGTGGCCAGTGAGAGAAGGCTGTCACCAGTATAGCTTAACAGTGAGTATGTTTCTTAAATCATCTTTCCTCTTTGCCTCACCACCTTCCCCTTAACTTTCCCTTAACTCAGATGACATTTTACAGTAAAATCATAATAAAAAATTTTTTTCAAAGTTAAAAACCTAAGCACTGTTTGTATCATTTCTCTCTATTTATTTAAATCTTTAACTCTCAATACCTCAGAGATAAAGTCCTGATTCTTTAACTTAGTTTTATAAGATCTGGCCTAAAACTACCTTCCAGCTACTTCCAAATGGGAATCATCTTTTCCAATTAGCTGAGACTACTCAATGAACAACTTACACATTCCTGCACCTGACTTTACCCCCACTGTTTTTTTTCTGTCTCATATGATCTCCTCTTATTAGAATTTATAAAGACCAGTCTCAGTCCAACTTCTTCCCTAGTCTAACATCTGCACTGTAGACTCCTCTGGACTTGGCACTTAATCATATAGCCCTATGTGGTAGCACATATTTAATCCTACACCCTATATCTTTAACTTTACTTGACAAGAGTCTAGGACAGAGACTATGTACTTTCTTTATTTCCTGAACTGCATCTATAAATAAGTGGAGAAAAGTATGTCATAGTGGTGACTTTTAGTTAAGACTCTTTGTTGATGAGCTTTGCATGCTTTCTGCCGTGTCTCTAAAGAATTCATGAACCTCTGAGTCATCATCACTGCGGGTCTGGCCTGGAAACTCCATGAGGGCCGAGAGCCGCAGAGATTGCTCTCTAAGTACACTCAGATGAAGAAATTAATGAGAGGACACTGAGAAGAAAGCCCTACTTCAGTCCCTGTTCTTAGTCATAGGGCCTTCTTTTCATGGTAAGAAAGAAAAAAAAAACCGACATGTGGCCTTTAAATTGTCAGCCGTTTGAAGTCCTGGAAAAATGGGAGTTTGTCATGTTATTCTGATATAAACATTGAAATAAGAGACTTCTTTTTTATCTTCCAGATAGAACAGTTGAAACAAAAAGCAGATAAAAGAGTAAGAAGTGTAAGTAATTCTTTTGCAATGGTACTAATTTCTTTTTTCTTTTGTCAGCTGTACAATTCTATACAGTTTTTAAAATCGCCTTTGAGTAGAAGCCAACTGTTGACTTTTATTAAACAATAGTCCTTAAAACATTTGTTGGCATTTAATGCAGCTCACTTTTGTTTTCATTTAAATAGTTTGGATTAAAGGCTTGGAGGGAATTCAGTCAATTTATATTGCCAACAGAAAAATAATTTTGCTCCATACAGCTTGTTAGTACGAATCCTGTCTTTATACTGTATAATATGATGGCCACTAGCCACATGTGGCTATTTAAATTAAAATGAAATAAAATAAAAAATTCAGTTCATTGGTTGTACCAGCCACATTAGAAGTGCTCAGTAGCCACATGTGGCGAGGGCCTACCACATTGGATACCGCAGATAGACAGCAGCCATTGTTGTGGAAAGTTCTGTTGGACAGCACTGCTCTGGAATTTATTTCTTAACTATGAGCTTGGAATGAAGGGTAAGAAAATCCTTGAGAGCTAGAAACATCAAATTCCACAAGGAAACTGGGTAGATAGCAAACTGGGAGGGAAAGCCTTGTCACCTGATGTTTCGGGTCTACCTTTAATGATTAAAATTCAAACTTAGCCCTGGCTGGTGTGGCTCAGTGGACTGAATGCTGGCCTGTGATCCAAAAGGTTGCCAGTTTGATTCCCAGTCAGGGCACATGTCTGGGTTGCAGGCCAGGTCTGTGGCTGGGGGCATACGAGAGACAACCAGATGTTTCTCTCCCTGTGTTTCTCCCACCCTTCCCCTCTCTCTAAAAAATAAGTAAACTCTTTTAAAAAATTCAAACATAAATACAGGTAATGTGTAAACATTAAGTTGTTCTTCTGATCACTGATGACAGGTTCGGTATAAAGTAATAGAAGATTACAGTGGTGCCTGCTGTCCTTTGAATAAAGGACTCAAAACATTCTTCACGAGCCCCTGCACTGAAGAGCCTCGAATCAGGCTGCAGAAAGGAGAGTTCATTTTAGCCACAAGAGGGTTTCGGTAAGTGGTAGTAAGAACTGGATTTCTTCTTCAATGACAAAATTGACATCCAGTCTAAAAAAATAATTTTTTAAATATTTCAGATACTGGTTGTATGGAGACAAAATTCTTGATGATTCCTTTATAGAAGGTATGAAAATGGAAGGGGAGGTTTAAAGAATAAGATAGCTGGCAATGATTCCAAATTTTACAAGAATAACTTTAATGAATAATCACATATCACATGCATTAGGGGAACTAAAGAGAAGAGCACACCATTAAGCAATAAAAAAGAAGCTCCTTGTATATTTCTCTATAGCACTTATATCTGTCAGGTCTTTTTAATGATGGCTGACATTGGAGCTCATCCCTAACTATGTGAGGGGCACTCATACAGGTGTTTCCCTTGTCGTATCCAAGTCCCCTTCAGCCCTCTGCTGTCAGTATCCATATCATCATTTACACTTTATTGGGGGGGAACTGAAGCAGAGGCTGGGCCACTTGCTCAGGACCACACTACCAGCAGGGCTGCAGCCCTCGCGGTCTGACTCCACAGCCTGTGCACTAAATCCCTTTGTCTTGTGCTCCCGCTTTGAATGCACTTTCCTGTTAAGTTTTTGTAATAACTAATAGATTGTCTTTAATTTTTTTTTGTGGGGGCTGCTAATAGACACTTATTTTTTATAGTGGTTTTAGGTTCGCAGCAAAATTGAGTGGAAAATACAGAGAATCTCCATATAGCGCTCCCCCACCACCCCCGTATGTATAGTTGCTCTCTCGGCGTCCTTTACCAGAGTGGTGCATTTGTAAACATTAATGACTCCACATTCACAAACTATAATTGTTCCTTTTTAAAGTCTAGATTAACCTAGGATGCTCTTTCAAAAAACACTGGGTTGATTGTAAATTAACTCCAAACAATAGCTTACTTAGGCAGCCTTGATAAAGGTTGGTTGTTACATGTTAGAAAAAGTCTATAAAGGAAGTTCATGAAGACTACAGGAAGACATAGATGGAATAGATAGAATGTGGCGGTATGTCAAAAACACCCTCACTCTCACACACAGGGAAGTCAATACCTGACTTGAGAAGTTCCCTTCAGCTCCACGTAGGGGCTGTTCTAAACCACATTAGCCCCTTTCCCAAATAATGGGATTGGGGAAATACCTGTTTTCTAGATTATTAAGAGCAAGGAGTTAAAAACCTTATTTTTTTTCTCCCTCACACTCGGCTTATAAAAGAAGGGAAAGCCGGGTGGAGAAGGTCTGACTAAAAGCTTATAAATTTGAAGTGTAGGACTTGTGGGTATATCTGACTATTTCACATCAGTTTCATTTTCTCCCTCAGGTGTTTCAAGAATAAGAGGATGGTTTCCTAGAAACTGCGTGGAAAGGTGTCCCTGTGATGCTGAGACAGATCAAGCCCCAGAGGGCGAGAAGAAAAATAGATAGCCACTATTAAAATACAATTATTCTTTGAGTTTGCTCCATTACTTGAAAATTGTACACATTACTAAAGAATTATGCAATGAGCCTACTCTGGTTAAGGTGTTCTTTTCCTCGCAGGTGCCCTAGTGCCATGATCTAAATATTTTTATGACCATTTTGAAATGGAGAAGCCATTTTGACCATGCCTTTGAACTCCTGCCCCTCTTTGCCACCTCTTTCTCTCCCCAAAAGGAAAGATACTTCACCCAAGTCAGTCAGTTGCGTTTTCTGGAGGACTTTTTGTGCGTGGCACACCTGCAGATGTAGTTCCCCCTTGGCCAGGAGCATCTGCATGTAATGCTTTTATCCTGTTTCCCCCTCATAAGAAGTTGATATTTCTTATTTAATATTCTAGATACTGTAGCACTTAATTTGTCAGATTCAATATAAGATCAGATTTTGTTACCTGTCTTTTAATAATGCTGATTTTGTCAAATCGAATAAAGACCAATGGATGTTCTCTAAGAATCATAGTTTTTACTTAAAGCATCTTTCTTTTTGCTGACTGAAAATATCTGTCTTAGTTCCTTATGGAAAAACCACTCTATTATCATGTCAAAAATTGACATCTTTAACCCTGAGTCTTAAGACATACATATTTGCCTCCATAAATAAACCCCATTAATGGCACACTGAGATCAGAACGTTCTAGGAGATTTTTCAGCCTGATGGCATTGAACTGCTCATGTACACGTTATCAAAACCTGGAGCCTATGCGAGTGGTAGGATCTAGCTGGCGAACTCATGCTTAAAATCAGGCATGTCTGAAAATAGAATCAAGATAGCAGAAGAGTGAGTGGAAGTCACACTGACCTTTTCCCAGGACCAACCTGGAATTAGACCTAAATTGTGGAGAAATCACCTGGAACAAACAACGAACAATAGTGAAAGAGGAGCCTTGTAACCTTGGAGATAGACGAATTGGCTTTAACGCAATCTAACTGGTAAGGAGTGCAGTAGAGACTCGCGAAAGCAGGTGGGGCACCCACGGGCGGCAGCACCAGAAGGATATTGAAATGGCCAGTTAGATCCCCCTGAGAAGAGGGGGGTCTAAACCATAAGCGGGGATCTCCAGCCCACAGCACCAGAGCCCAAAAAGTACACAGACCACAGCCAGCTGCGAAAAGCAGCAGGGTGGCTCTCTGCCGGAGACTGGCAGCTAGAGATGCAAAGAACCATTTAAAGGGACAACGCATAAATTTTTATTTGCAGCCACTTACCCTGGTTTCCGGCAAAGGTGGGGGCAAAGTGGGCTAGAGACACCTGAGGAGAGACTGGGGAAGGGGGCTTTGGGGAGAGAACAGAGAGTAGCTGGCGGGATCGTGATGCTGACTCATCCCCCAGTGTGGTAGCAGCCATCTTGCTCAGGCAGACCACTCCCCTGAGTGGTAACAGACCAGAGGACCTAACAAACCCGCCCCCAGGTGGGATTCCACCCCATCCTGTGCTGTCAGCCTCCTGCTGAGTGCAGAGTGGCAATCACAGATAGTAGTTCTCTGCCTAAAGGGGGCGCAGAGAGATCTGATGACACTTAAGGAGAGACTGGGGATGGAGGCTTTGGGGAGAGAATGGAGAGAGTACCTGGGGGGATTCCAGTGCTGACCCCCCCCCCCGTATGGCAGCAGCGTGAGAGGACCCAATAACCCCGCCCCAAGGAGCTGCCCTGCCCTGAGCTGTCTAAGGGGGCCTGCTGAGTGCAGAGTGACTAGATTAACAGCTGAAGGAGACAGCCACAGAGAGTAGAACCTTGGAAGTCTCAAATAGGCTGCCTAAGGTCAGACAGGGACGACATCTGACATCATCAGAGGCAGATCCAGAAAGTAAAAACAGTGGTCTCCTACCATAGAAGTTCACACCACAAAGTCAGGAAATCAAGACAGATCAATTTAAGAAGCAGAAGCAAAAAAGAAGAGTCTCACAAATAATGGGAAGACAAACACCCCCCACTTGAAAGAAAGAATCCCCAGAAAGAGAGCTAAATGAAATGGAGGCAAGTACCATCAGATACTGAGTTCCAAATAATGGTTCTAAGGAAGCTCAATGAGCTCAGAATTACAAAAAACTATAGGGAAACTACTAGGAACTTACTGCAAACTATATCAGCATGAAAAAACACATAGAAACTATCAATAAGAGACAAGAGGAAATGAAGAATACAATTTCTGAATCGAAGAAGACAGTAGAAGGAATCAAAAGCAGGCTAGGTGAAGCCAAGGATCAAATCAGTGAGCTGGAGGACAAGGTAGAAAAAAGCTCCCAGAAAGAACAAGAAAATGAAAAAAGACTCAAAAAGAATGAAGAGGCATTTAGGGGAATGCAGGACAACCTGAAACGTAATAATATCCATATAATAGGGATACCAGAAGAAGAGGATGAGGAAGGGATAGAGAACCTGTTTGAAAAAGTAACGATGGAAAACTTCCCTCATTTGAGGAGAGAAAAAGTCACACAACTCCAGGAAGCACAGAGGTTCCCACTCAAGAAGAACCCAATGAGGCCCACTCCAAGACACATCATCATTGAAATGGCAAATATCAAAGACAAGCAGAGAATCCTAAAGGAAGCAAAGAAGAAAGAGGTAGTAACATAAGGGAGCCCCAATATAGCTAGCAGCTGACTTCTCAACGGAAACACTGCAAGACAGAAGGGAATGGCAAGAAATATTCCAAGTCATGAAAAGCAAAGGCCTGCAACCAAGACTGCTCTACCCAGCAAGGCTGTCACTTAAAATGGAAGGCAAAATAAGGAGTTTCCCTGAAAAAAGAAGGCTAAAAGACTACACCTCCACTAAACCAGCACTGCAAGGTATGCTAAAGGGACTGCTTTAAGATGAAGAAAAAGAGTCTATGAATACCCAGTTCCTTTCAGAGTTGCCAATACTTGATATTACCAATATTTTTTAATACTCATTAATCTAATTGTGACAATGATGTTCTTTTACTTTTTGTTGAAACTAAACCTGTTTTAGTGTATTTATTGCCTATTTCTATTATTTTTTAAAAGCTTTAAATGACTTTTTGGTATTTTTTATCCATTTTTTGATTAAATGTTTGTAGAATTTTTTCCCTAAAAAAACCCCCACAAACTATTAACCCTTTTTTAGATGTGTTGTAAATACTTTCCTATTCTATGACTTGTCCTTTAACTTTTTTATATGTATATTACTATACAGTCTTATATGTTTAATATAGTCATATTGTCAATATTTTACTTTATAGCTTATGGCTTTGAATATTTTACTTCAGGGTAAGAAAAATATTAGTTCGTATTTTCTCCTAAAACTCCTAAGATTATACATATTGATTTTTAACTCATCTGAATATTTCTTATATAGTGTGTGAAATAGGGCTCTACATTTGTTTTATTTCAATAGTGGTCCATGCACCTTATTTGTTGAATAAGCCTTATTTTACCCATTGATTTGAAATATCAATTTAATCATATATTACATTGTTAGACAGATATATATGTTGGCTCTAGAATGCTCATTATGTTTCATTGATCTACTTGATTATTTCTGTGCTGGTGTCATGTTGGTTTATTTGCTAAGACTTTATAATGGTTTTAAATTTTTTAATATTTTACAATTAACTTTGACATAAAAGATAAATAAAATCAATCTGCATGAAAGAAAGACAGAAAGAAAGAAAGAGAGAGAGATGGAACTCCTACCGTTTGCAACAACATGGATGGAACTGGAGAATATTAAGCTAAGTGAAATAAGCCAGTTGATGAAAGGCAAATACCATATGATCTCAACTATAAGTGGATTCTATTCAACAAAATAAACTAACAAACAAAATAAACCACAGGCATGGAAACATGGAGCAAACTGAAAGTGACCAGAAGGGATGGGGAAAGAGGACAATGGTGGAAAGAAGGGGAAAGGACTAGACAAAGAACATGTATGAATGACCCATGGACATGGACAATGGAGTGGGAATTGACTGTGGGAGTGGGGGGTGGGGGTAGGATGGATGGAGGGGGGTAAAGGAGGAAAAATAGAGACAACTGTAATTAAATAAACATGATTTATAAAATTTAAAAAATCAGGCATATCTAAACACAGGTAGAATGACAGAAGTCACCTATTTCAACATTAATTCTCTCCAATGCAGGGAACTTGAGCTTTGCTGGTCAGGCTTGTAACAGTTAACCATAAGGGAAGGGTGCCTGGGAATTCAGCAGTTAATGAAACTTAACAGTGCCCCATTCCAGTGAGGGCTGGGGAGGTAGACAAGTAGAATATATGTCAAATGGAATCATGCTGTGTGAAGGTGGCAGGTGGGATGGTCTGATGGAGGTGACATTTGAAACAAGTGAGAAGACAAGTCATATGCCTCTGGAAATTTCTGCTTTTTAGGCAGAGACAATGACACGAATGCCAGGCTGGAACGTGCCTGGTGTGTCTGAGGAACAGTAAGGCAGCCAGTGCAGGTCAGCTGGAATGAGTTAGGGTGGGTCAAGGAGATAATAGGGACAAGAATGTGGAGGGACCTTTAAGTTAATTCTTGCCTCCCCTTTTGTTTCAGCGACTGAAGAATATGCTTTTCTTCAACTTCCCTGTGCTGAGAGTCTAGAAAGACCATCCAGGAACATTCTCCTTAACTCCTGGTTAGAGGCCAGAAAGGAACACTGTCCAACAGTTCTAAGGAACTGTCCTTAGAGTACGACAAAGATGGTAAAGGAGAAAAACACAAATCAGGCTTGCCTGGAGTTGGGGCTCAGCTGCAGTTTGCTTTGTTGCTCACACTTGTGTGATAAGAAGGCCTGGTCCCCTCAAAGTATCAGTAGTAGGTCATCTTCAGTAGTTAAACTTGGTGGCATCCTAGAATCCCACTTTAAAAAATCCCACTGCCTGGGCTGTACCCCAGACCATTTCAATCAAAATCCCTGGGGTAACACCCAGGTGTTTGTATCTTTTTAAGCTCACAGGTGATTCCAGTGTGCAGCCAAGTTTGAGAGCCACTGGCTGACGTGATTGTTAAGTGGCCCTGTCTAAGGCAGGCTCTCCCAGGGTCCTGAGGAAACACACCACAATGTATGTATCTGCAATAGTTTATTATTTTAAGGACTTCAGATTTACAAGTGGAAGCAACATGTGTTGCCTGAGGGTAAACTGGAGCAGGAACCAGTGTTCAAGGCAGAAAAGGTCAGTCGGTTCCTTCACAGGAGATAAGGCAGGAGATAAGGCGGTTGTGCGGGCAGCAGGCTTCCCTGTGAGTCTTTGTTCCCAGTTTAGGAGGTTTTTACTCAGTGCTTTGCTTCCTTTACTGGAAAGTACGCTCCACAGCGTTTCATCTCCTTCCCCCACAGCAGACTGCAGGGAACAACAGATTCAGTCACCAGTAGTATCCCTGTAGATGACACTTTCAGAAGATTCTTTTTGGACAACACATCATAGGCCCAATTTTTAATTTTCCCAAGTCAGGGAAACTAGAGAAGCTAGGAATTTTCAGTATAATTAAACTTCCCTTCTGTATACAGACTTCAGTGTACAGATAAGTACATAGAAGAAATCTGTCTCACAAATGTGATTAATAGTAATGATAGGTTAAAACTTGATTTAAAATTTTAAAGGTTTCATGGAGTAGTTAGAAAACAGGAATTATAAACAGCCTTTCAGAACTTAAAAGTCTCTTAACTTGAATGCTGGAAAGCCTAAGTGTTGGGACTGTTGACAAGTTAAGTTTTACTGGAAAACAACCAGAAAGAAATCACAAAGGGTCACTTTGGCTCTTGAACTAGTGGTCACTTAGAGAAAGAGACAAAGAATAGTAATAGACCTTGAAGAAAGGTATGTTGATAAAAGTAGCCTGAAAACCTAAATGTCAGTACCATTAGTGACGGAAGGACAAGATTTATTTAGTACAAAACTAAGCTTCCACATTAAAAGTCTCTCACACTTTTTAGAAGTCCCCAAATTATGTTTATAATTTAGTAGGTAAAACAACAAACAGGAGAAAAGTAAAGAAAGAAAAAAGAAAAGGAAAATAAACAAGCTTAGTTTGTAATCCACATTCCCCCAAGGCAGGCTACCTCCAAGCCCCTTCCAGCTGGCGCATCTTCATCTACTCCTGGGTAGCCTCGTACAGCCTGTTGATTTCGGTCTGGAAGTACTTGGAAAGCTCTCCCCGCTTTGCTTTCAATGTTGGTGTCAAGAGCCCATTTTCAATGGAAAATGGCTCTGGCTGGAGAAAGATGCTTTTGACCTGGAAGAGAAAATGAACAGACACACACACGTGTGCACATGCACATTTCTTAGTGATCCGGTCTCTTCTGCGGAGGCCCTCTAAGTGCTGTGGTAAGAACCTTAAAGAATAGTTGACCTTATAAAAGTGGGTTTGAGAAAGTGGTGAAGAGAAAGAGAAGAGTTAACACATGCCCATTCTCACAAACTTTTAATTTGGGAAAGAAATGAATAGGGAGAAGGGAGAATGAGTAATGACAAGCGAAAAAGGACTGTACAAGCAACTACCAAAGGTCAATGCCAGTTACAGTTAATGGGCTCATGGTACAAACTCTAAAACCAATCCTTTGGAAACTGGATATTTAAAATCTAAATCCAATCCCTGGGAAGCTGTATGTTTAAACTCCATTATAAATGCAATCTTTAAAATTTTCTAGTATGACTGGAGAGACAAGGAGTACATCGGTAATACATACCTGTTCAAAGGATTTAAGGCCACTTTCTTTCCCAAGTTTCTGCAAGTCTTGTAAAATGGCTTCCTTTATAACCTAAGAACATAAAACATGGCTGAAAGCGTGGCTGTTTGACAAAGAGACCAAACGAAAGGCTAAGCATGAATCAACTCAAAATTCCTACAAAAGTTTGTCGGGATATAAGCAGGATGTAGAAGTATGTACAAGCACATTTTATGCCTATTATTGCCCAAAGAGGGGAAAAAAATCAATGACAAGAAAAGGCAAATCTAAATTTTAAAGGGCTTTTCTCTGAAAGACAGTTTGAAATTTTTTATTTTCCGTTTTTTTTCCCCCACAAAGAACAAATTACTATAAAAAGAACAGGGGTTTTTTTGCTGTTTTTAATCTCACCATCTTATCCTCCAGTCTAATAAAACAAGTCAATCTATTTAGGTTTCAGCCACCTGCTTCAGGTTCAGAAAGAATCTGTTCTTCCAGACAGAAGGCTCTGGAAACTCACGGATGCCAGAGCTGGCGGGGCCTCCCCTCTCCCACAGCAGGCCCCGTGGGGGTGCGTAAAGCTTTGCTAAATGAAACTTACTTGGTTTTGGCACATTTCTTCAAGGGAGCCCTTAACTCCAAGTTTGGCTGCAAATGCGGGGAGCACATCTGGGTCAGGAACCACCACTGCTACTAAGAATGACTGTGGAAAAGAAACGAGGTGTGCGAGAGCTCTTGCAATGGTGTCTCCCAGTGGGTGAAGAGAGCAGGGTCATACCTTTGAAATAGATACTTCTCAAGGCCTCACACTCAGTATTAGTGGCCTACTCTTTCCTCACCAGATATTTCAAACTCTTTTGGAACTCTACTCAAAAATTACTCTACTCAAATTTGATTATTCAAAAAGAAGCGGTCTTTACCATTAAGCTTAAAGCATCTCTGGCCTGTCCTGCCAACCCTCCCCTACTCCCCAGAGGCTAACTTTAAGCATAGTATGTATCCATATAAAACAGTTTGTGCCAAAGGACTTCTGTTGTAGTAGAAACTAAAATCAACCTGGGCCTCTTTGTACTGAATGGCTACAGTTTAGTATAACAGTTTAACCATTCTACTGACTTGTTTACAGAGCCCCCCATAGTTTCAAAAAACTTATTTTCATTTATATTGCCTCATTTGAGGATCTTCTCATCCTAAACCAACTTAAGCAGCTTTCCTGTAGCTACTGGAATCAGCATGGTCTGTGCCTGAAAATGGCTAATGTTAAAACAATACATTACCCGTAAGCTTTCCCCATGTACGAAAACTTGCAGCACTGGTCTACTCCTAATGTAAATATTTTCTATCTTCTCTGGAGCAATGTATTCTCCTTGGGCCAGCTTGAAAATGTTCTTTTTCCGGTCAATGATCTTCAGAGTTCCATTCTACAAAAGACAGGTGAAAATGTCAGTGTTTTCGAGCCCTTTATGGGTGGAGACAAGGGAGAAAGTAGTGAAGTCACAAGTATCTTCCTTCTTAAACTTGGCTTCTCCAGAGACTTTGGAGCAATCTCTCATTTCTCATTCTTGGCTTTGAGGAGAAGGGAAGGAAGCAGCTTCCAGCAAGAACCTGTCATATGGTGTGTCTATTTGGAGAGCCAATGTACAGCCCAAGAAAAAGTCCCAGGGTCTGCTGGGATTGTACAAATAGCTGCATCATCTACTGAAAATATTTTGCAACCCTGCATTTCCAATAACTTAATTTCCAATTATTCCATTTCCAGCACTCCTGGGAATAAGCAAGGATTGCTCTTTTACTAAGAATGTTGAATAAGTCAGATGTCCCCATCCTTGACTCCATTTGGTGTACCTTTCCTGTCAGAGTGGGGAGCAGGCTAAAGCAGCTCCATCATGCTAATGCTAATCACGCAAGTCAGTAACTGTGCTTGTTGGGACAGAATACTGGGGAGGGCTCTCTGACCACCACCAGAGCTCATTTGCCGCTTCCTTTCTCTGGGCTAATTGGTCTGAGGAGCTTAGGTTCTTAGGGATTTGAATTGCAGAATTGGGACCAGTAGCAAATACAACCCACATGATCATACCCTAAGTAGGGCGGTCAACTGAACCAACCCTAGAGCCATCAACAAGGCTCTCAGTTAATCCAGCCTAACAGACATCTGAAATAATTAATAAGGTTCAGACTTTTATAATTCTTATGTGGGGACACATCTATTGCCCATATCCTATGCTTATAAGAGCTGAGGACTCTTGTACAGAAACAAGTATGGCTGCACAATAGGACTAGACCCATCTAGTTGATGATGAACTATATCATCAGAACCAATGTTCTTGGAGTTCTTGACAAAGGTTCTGTGAATGTCACTTAAAGCTGGAGAATATTGAGCCAGAAAGGACTCTAAGGGCTGGTCACATTCCCACTTCCTCCACGCATAGTAGACAAAAACTTTGCAGAGAGGAAACCTTGGAAAGCCCCCTGCAGGGCTTCTAAAGCCGCATCACAATGAAACAATAATTTCCTCTCTCCTTAGGGAAACAGGTGGGGTTGACAGAGACCAATGGTCATTGTTTATCAGCAAGGTATGCTTAAAAAAATGTTTCCATACCTTCCACAGAGAGGCAGTGAAGGTCAAAACCTAGCTTCTGCTTACACCTAATTTAGAAATTTGCTTGCTTGTTTTGATATGTCTCTACATACTAAGCGGGAAGAAATGCATCTCTTTAAAACTTTTAAAAGGCAAATGTTATAAGCCCATGGAGCTAACAAATTACAATTTCTGCCTCAAGGAAAGTAAACAAACAAATAAACAAACAAAAAACAGACTACTACATCCTTTTCCTGGAAAAGTCACCTAATTTTTCCTTGGCTGTAAGCAAATACAGGGTCCAGCACAAATAACGCGCCTTTTTTATTAGTAAAGCTTTTTTTTTTACAAAATCTTAAGCATGTCATTCTGTAACATAGCAATATCACACTCAAGAACACCATATGACATTTTAGTTGAAATGTTCAAATTAAAACTATAAATCTTTACACCCATATTATTACCCTACCAACCACACTCAAGCAGGCCTTACTTCTGCCGGACCCTATATACTCCATTGTCAAAGGATTATCCCACTCGCATCTCTGCCCAGCTTGTTGATAAGCAGAGGGTCCTCCCCAGTCCAGCAGCACAGACTCCCAGAAGTTTTGAAGAAACACCCACCGGGAGCCAGCGCCCGATGTCTCCTGTGTGAAGCCAGCCATCTTTATCCAGGGCTTCCTCTGTCCTCGCGGGGTCCTTCAGGTATCCTTTGAACACGTTGGTGCCCTTGATGCAGACCTGCCCATAAGATGGTACAAAGTGGTGAGAATAGCAAAGGCTCCTACTCCCGCCCTGGCTACTCTATAAAACACCTGCTCCCACCCTTGAATCACTTGAGGCTTTCAACTATAGTGTGAAGAGTACCCAATCATAATCCCTAATGTGGGGGATAGGAATGTCAGACATATTCCATTCCTTGCTCAAGATCTCAGAGGAGTCAAACCCAAGCCTGCTGACTATTGTATGCTCTTCCTGACACAAATATGCTGACCATGATGGTCTGGACAGGACTACCAGGCACAGCCAACCCACCTCTCCTTCACCGTTCACTGAGAAGTAGTTCATTTCTGGCACATCTTCCAGCTTCACATGATTGCAAGCCAGGGGGACTCCAACATGGCCTAGAACACACCACACTGAGTCAGCTGGGAAAACCTAAGACGGTGATCATTCCAGGCACATTTCAGAGATACTTATGGATTGACTCTAAAAATAAAAATAAAAACTGAAAAATCACTGCCAAGATAGGAAGGCCTGGACCAAAACCTGAGTTGGCTTTTGCCATGTTCATCCGAAGCACCAAGGTTATCTAAACTCGTAAGTCCAAGTCCGGTTAGAACACTTTTCTTAACCACTGGATCTCCTGCCCAGCAGATGGAGAATTTACCTGGTCTGTAGTCCCCAGGTAACGTAAATGTACAGCCAGCAGTGCATTCTGTTTGACCATAAGCTTCAAACACCTGGGAAAAACCAAAGAAGGGCTTTGAGACTGACTCATGATAAAGCAGGACCTGGCCATGCTCTATGGCATGGCAAGACATGAGGAATGTCTCTGAGGGCTGGAGGACATTAAGTGTCATCATACTGTGAATTTATGCCTGAGCTGCTGAATCTTTACATCTGGGGGTTCACTCAAAAACCAAAAGTGTCCAGAAATTGACCAAAGTATGGAAACTTATACTGTACTTGGGGGAAATATGCCACTTCAAGTAGATGGGAAAATGAGAGTTTTTCAATGAGTGATGTGCAACCCAATGGCAACTGGACTTGGACCTGGGCAATGGAGCACTTCTGATGGAAATGAAGTAGAATTTTTAAAGGGATAGCTCCAGCTGTGGTATAGAACAGGGTTTGGCAAGCTCTGGCTGTATGGGACCAGATAATAAATAGTTTAGCCATTGATCTCTGTCTCAACTACTTAACTCTGCCACTGTAGCAAGAAAGCAGCAGTGGACAATGGGTAAGTGAATAGACATGGTGGTGTTCCACTAAAATCTTTCTTTTATAAATACAGGCAACAAGCCAGATGTGCTGCATTGTGCCAGTCCCTGGTATAAAAGCTAACCTCGGCTAGAAGCTGGTGGGAGGAAACAAGTGCCGTCCACTGCAGTGGTGGTGGTTGTCGAGGGGGTGGGGGTGTCCTGTGGTAGGCAGAGTTGGTGAACATGGAGAGGAAGCATTTCTGGGAGGGGCGTGACAACAGGACCTCTGACCTGTCAGTTTTGGGGCTGAGGGATGCTAATTTGAAAGACTAGTGGACCTCTGGCCTTGGCATCAACACAGAATCTTTTTTGATGTTGGTCACACAGACAGGGGAACCCTCTGTGAGAACAAGGCTGTCTTTTTCACTCATCTTTGCATATTGATCCAGTGAATGAACTAGCTAGCCACTTGGGTGAGAAAAGGGGAAAATATCCATGTCCAAGCCCTTAACTAAATTCCAGATAGAGCAGAGACTTAACTGGAAAAAAGTAAAACCATAAGATTACCAGAAAATATAGATAAAAACAGTCTATACATATTGGGGGTTAGGGAGTCCTATCTAAGCAATTCAAAAACTACAAATAGAAAAGATTAATCCATCTGATTACATAAAAATTTAAAACTTTTATATGGCCATACATGACTAGGAAAAATATTTTTAACATTACAAAAATGAGTGTTATTACAATATGAACTTTTAGAAAGCAATGTCAAAGAGAACCAAATTATCCTATGCCCATTTTTCTATAAGGAAGTAAAACAGTAATTTATGGAAGAAATACAAGTGCCAATAAGCTATAGAGAAGATGTTCAGTGTTAATAAAAGAAACAAAACCCCCAATAAGTTTTTTCATGTGCCTGATGGGCTAAAATTTAAATGACTGACAAAGCCTTTCACTAGCAAGAATGTGGGAAAATCAGGGCCTATGTATCATTTGCAGAAATGTATTAAAAAATATAAGGTCTTCCTGAACGGAAGTTTGATAATCTATATTAACATGTTAAACACAAAACATACACTTTCACCCAAAAATCCCTACCTGTCAGGATTTGTCCCAAATTGATAGTTGTATTAAATACTAAAGAATATACAGGTATTCTTATCATTTCATTGATTATAACAACAACAACAACAAAAGGTAAGAAACTCATGTTCTTTAATAGGAGATTAGTTATTTAGGTACATTCACCAAACTATTCCAAAACCATGAAAATAATGTAGATCTTCATTTGACAAGGAATGATGTTGATGGGGCATAGTTTAACAAATATTTTCGATGCCTAAGAGGAGGCTAGAAGGATATTTTCTCCTGATCTTGAGATTTTTGGATGACTTTCTCTTTGGTACTTTTCAGTTGTGTTTTCAGTTTTATTTAAACAGCAAGTCTTATTTGTTGCCAAAGCGAAATAAGCCATCTTCAAAGGTATTTGTCTTACCTGACATCCCAATGCCGACCGGAGGAATGTCAAGACAGGAGCAGAGATGGGAGCAGCTCCGGTGACCATAAGGCGAACCTTCCCACCCAGGCTGTCCTGTTCAGTAGAAACAAAAAGACCTGCTGAAGGCCATTCCCTCAGCTTGATTTTTCTCTATTGCTAAATGGGCTGAACAACCTACCTACTACTGTTAGGAAAATTAAACTTGGTAATTCACAAAGCACTTAGAATAGGGCCTGGCATTGTGGAAAAGTACTTAAAAAGTTAAAATGTTATTATTGTCACCACTATCCATAGCTGGGACCAGACCTACATTTTTAAAAAACATTTCCACATATATAATTTGTATTTTTGGTCCCTTCGAATCACTTGCAATTGCAACAGACCACCTAAAAAAATTTGAGAGAGGGCTAGAACCTAAGTAAAATCTGCTTCCTGCATTTTGACCAATTTCCTTTAGTGACAAAGTTGTCCAAGACAGATCTTATATGGTGAGTGAACGCAGAGGGTGCGAGAGGATCTCCAGTTAAAGAGACACCTGACCATCAGAGGGAAAACAGGATATGCTGAGTCATGGAGCAGGCTAGATATTTGCCTAGCTCTGTCCAGGACCCACCCAACCTACCTGGATCTTTGCAAAGATGAGCTTGTCCCACAGACTGTTGCGTCTGATGATACCATTTTTCACTTCATTGAATTTACTGGAAATGGCCAAGTTCAATAAGAACTTCTTCAAGGGTTCCTTGGCTTGATTTTGAATCTGCAGGGTGATAACTCCTTTTAGTTGGAAACCTATTAGAGATACTCACTATGGCTCATCAGTGAGCAAGAGATGTCTAGCTTCATAAGGAAGCAGCTCTCAATCATGAACTGGTTTGCTGAATAATAAGGGCTCCAGAGAATTATGTCCATTCTAAAAAAGAAGTGAACTTAGTACCTACATTCAAAGCCCTTCTTTGAATGGTAGCTCTTCCAGATACCTTGACAAATGACTTCGACAACTGAGATAATAATTATGTCCTCAAAAGATGTTCATCATCTACCTACAAAGTCACTCAGGACTACTGGATAAAATACTGCTCAATGGACAGCGCTTCAGGTTTCTGATTTAGTAGGCCAAAGAAGGTCCCAGAGATCTGATTTTTTTAAACCAGCACCACCTCTCGTTCCCCTTGTCCCCAGGATGCTTACATACACTAAATTTGGAGAAATACCACTTTCTCTATAACTAAAGTTCCATTAGCCACAACATATGAAACCCAACAGACTTTCCTACTTAGATCATTTCTTTCCTGTGGACTTAATGCTGACACCATTTTCTAAGCTCATATGATTTTCCCCGCCTCCCTGACTCTGGCCTCATCGTGACTCTGTAATTCACCAACCATGGTCCTGCCAAAGGAGAGCTTCGTCAGCTCAACTCAAAGACGCCCATCATATTTACAGAACTACACCCTCGCTCCATATTTTGGCCTTCATGACGTGATCCTCCTGGAAGTCAAGGAACTGAAAGTTCTTTTCCAGTTCAAAACTCAAAGATGACCTTCCATATCTGCACTCCCATCTTTGGGTCCCAAGACAAACCCTAATATCAACTGCGCTCTAGGCTCTGGGTATCTACTCATGCCTGTACCATTATTTGGCCCATATCTCATCATCTTTCTCCAAGATCTACACTCAAATACTGCCTGCATTGTGTGATTCCTGACACTTCTCCCAGCCTTAAGAAACTCATCTTTTTTCCAACATTCACAGGACTCCCCCTAATAAGTCACTGACAAAAAAGCTGCAATGTAGAGACTCACACTAATAAAGTCCTGCATTTAAAAAATAAGTTTCAGAAGTGAACTGTGTGTTAACACCATATTATAGAATAACTCTCTCTCAAAAAAAAAAAGTCCATCCAAAAAAAGAACAAAAATTATAACAACCGAATCTAATAACCCCATAACATGATAAGGAGCTGTTAGAATTGTCAAATCTGATAGAAACCAGGGATTTCAATGTCTAGGGATCATCTGTGTGCTAGGGTGCCCCCTGTCCTATAACTGGAGCCACAGAATAGCACCTGGTGAGGTTCACAGATATGAAGGGGAACACTAGCATCTCGGGGGTAGGGGGCAAACATGTGAAGAATGGCCATGTGTTATTTCCCTAGGGCTTCTATGCCTATAGAATTATGAGGTTATCTGGTACATGGTTAAGAGCCTAGGTGCTGTTATTACATTGACTGGGTTCAAATTCCAGTCCCAAGTGCTCCTTGGAGAAACTGGACAACCTAAGACTTGAGTGAGAATTATACAAGATGACCTTGAGACATTGTATACCAAGAAGCAAAGAAGTTATTAAAAACCACCAGGGACATGTCGAAGGACACATGAACAACATGATGGGACTCCCAACTTCCAAGATGGAAAAATGTGAACATTGAGAAAAATGAATAAAATGGATTAAATGTACAAATATGCAAATCACTAGTTCATAATACTGCAAAGAAAATCACCTCATTGATCAGTTTTAAAGATCACGTGGGGCACTGATTCAGCATGTTGAAGTTAATACATAAAGGAAGAGAATGAAATATTGTTATGCACTTACGGAGGAATCTCAGCTAATGAATGTGGGAAAAAATGACTGAATTACAAAAATCACCATTTTGCAATCCCTAATGGAAAATAGAGTACTAATGAATGACAGACAAAATAATTTTGTGACAGTCTGATTCTGGCCTGATCCCTTATTAGATATGACTCTGGGCAAGTTATTTAACTTCTGAAGCTCAGTCTCTTTGTCTGTAAATTAGGGATAATAAATATAAGCCTAATCTGGTTCTGTGAGGATTAGATCCTGGGATGCATATGAAATGTTTATCATGAGCCTCAGCAAGCAGCTCAATAACCAGTAGGTGCTATGAAACCACAGTAACAACTTCCCGGGAAGTTGGCTCAATTTTGAGGGGCTCCCCAAGTGTCTGAATTGAATGCTTTCTCTAGATTAGGTCCAAATAGTCTCATTCAGAGGAAAAGGGGTTTTATTTATTATGGTTTTTCACAACTGCATTTATAAATGTGGCTGTATGTTGATATTTGTAGGGAGTCTGTGGGGGAGGGTTGGTAGAAGTGGGTAAGTTCTCAACAGCAGAGTCCCTTAAAGCCTCAGCTGGGCTAGAGCCACAGACAGTTTCCTCACCTCATGGTCAGCCTAGCAGAAGCAAGATCAGTACCTTATCATAGATCCTGTTAAGAAGTCGGGGCACCACAGGGAACACTGTGGGCTTCAGAGTCTTCATGTCGTCGGGCAGTGACCGAACATCTCCTTGGAAGAACCCAACTTTGGCTCCACAAGTATACGCAACATACTAGAAGCAAAATCAAGGTATAGGGCTCAAGTGGGGTCTGTCTTCAAGAGGGAGCATGAGAGACTTTGCTGTTCATGGTCACTTTTAGTGCTACAGCACTAAGGAAAAACACCATCTGTTAACTAGAACATGCCTATAATTGTAAGACTGTCTCCATTTCCAAAAAGTTAAAATATGAAAAAAGTTGCTCATTTTATTTTATTTTATTAATCAGATATCAGTATTTCAGTCCAAGGAATCAAATCTCTCATTTGTCATTTCATGCATTAACACAGAAGTAGGTCAAAGAAGTATTTAAGAATAGGGTTTAGAGCCAAAGGATTCCTTGGAAGTGGTAGGGGGATTTTTTCCATTCCTCCCATCACCTGGTTTGTTTTTGTTTTTTTTATGAAGAGCTGCCATTGCTTTCAAATCTGCCTCCGCATAGCCTGATAAGCCTGGAGGCCATTCACAAATGGGCAGCTCCCCGCCAGGGCACATGATCCCTGAAAACTCTATCCCACACACTCTGGATTTCTTACCTGGATCAAAGGCTACTTCTCTGTCCCTTTGTAGGGAACTTCCTTTTCTCCAATCCTAGATCTTTCCAAAAATTCTAACCAAAATAAAATTACAAAGAAGAAAAAAGATCTCCTATCACAAGTCAGAATTAAGGGTCTATAATAAGCTCTTGGCTCTGACCTCGCCCGACTTGCAGGCACCGTGTGTGAAGGCAGGAGCAAGCCTGAGCCCCATTGGACACAACAAGCTTAGTGGAGAAAGGTGCCACAGCAAGTTAGGGAGATTCCGGGATTCCGACTTGTCTGTGCTGACTCCCTGCCCTTTGACCTTCAAATCACAGGAAGGGCTGTAAATGTTGGATAGCTGCCTTTAGCATAGACGTGGGACTAAGAAGTCAGAGCACTCACCTGTACAATCCTCTCAAACATATGAGCCAAGGGGAGGTAGGATATGACCACATCCTCAGGGGTGATCATAAACGTATTCTATCGATCAGGAACAAAGAGGAGACAAAATTGGTTTAATGGCAACCTTCTCTTCCAAAGGAGATTTAAGAACTACTATTAACTGTAGTTAATAATATTCCATTGTATATTTGGACGTTGCTAAGAGAGCTGATCTTAAAAGTTCTTGTCATAAGAAAAAAGAATTTGTACCTAGGTGTCGTGATGGATGTTAGCTAGAATTCCTACGAGGATTGTTTTCAATACATACAAATATTTAATCATTAGGTTGCACACCTGAAACTTTTATAATGTTAGATGTCAATAATATCTCATTTAAAATTTTTTAAAAATTTAAAAACTCCTTCCCTCCAGGAGAGCCACACACAGTTGTGCTGGCGGTACATGGTGTAACTGGAAGAGGTGCGCTGAGAGGAGAGGGCTGTGGTGGGCCTAAAGGCCAAGGCTTGAAAAGACGTGGTGGCCACACAGAGAGGCACAAGTCTTTGTCCACACTCTGGCCCTTAACCTGTTTTATCTCTTCCCCTTTGCCCCCTGCCACTTCAAGATTAAAATTTTATGGTAGGTTCACATTTTAATGAGGACCACCTTTTCAATTGTCCACTGACCTCCACACATTTAAGAAAAGCACCAGCATTTGAAACAACATTTTTATGGGTTATCATGGCTCCTTTGGGGTCGCCTGTAGGAAACAAGGGGTGGAGAGAAAGATCTTTTAGGCAGCAGATAGGCAACCTTTGGCTTTGAAAGAAGAAGCTCCATTCAATCGGTTCTGTTCCAGGGTGCCGAGTTCTCCTGGCACTGTGTCTTTGTATAAATGGTTTATGACTATGTTTATGGATGATTAAAGCCCCCTGAGATTCCACTGCTGACAGCCTTCTGCCACCACACAGGCACAGCCCTCATCTCAGAGAGCAACACAGTGGAAAAGAAAACTCCAGGTAGCACCCCCTTCCTTGTGCTGTCTTGACGTTGTTTAAGACTTCAGATCTAACCGTATTACCTAGCTATCGCCTTATAAACTGGGCAGAATAGAATAGATATAACAGTAGGTCATCACGGGCCTCATTAAATAGAGTTCTGAGAGGTAGCTGTCAGGTTGGCGTGGGGTGCACAGTGATCGATGTAGAACTCTCACTGGGGTATCTTAATTGAATGACCATTCTAGTAGTGTCAAGTTAAGAGAGTGGTGGGTTGGGGAAGAAAATGGATTTTCTGATGCCACTTTTAAGACCTCTGAAACCCACAGTATGTAAATACTGTGGATTCCAGTATGTTCAATGAGGTTTACTTGCTTATGCTTAGAGTTTTCTACTTGGGTATCCATACTCAAAAGCCTTAGGTGGTAAATACCTAAGGATAGGGCTCATTATCGGGTTTATTTACTAGCTTATCAGTGGTCAGTGACTCAAGCCATGTTTTTGGCTGACCAGAGGCCTCTGGGACAGCTTCATGGGCACTGACCTGTGGTCCCACTGGTGAAGCAGACGATGCCCAGGTCTTCTGGTTTAGGAGGCTGGAAGGGGAAGTACAAGGGCTTAGTCTACCATGAGCTTTGGGAGTTGAATATACAAGATTCAAATTTGGACAGAAGAAAACTTACCATGGGTTTTCTGAAGTTCTCTTTGCCTATATTCTACAGAAACAGAAAACAGAACAGAAAACCAAGAAACACATTAGTTGAGATGGACAGACTCATGACAAATACAACCCTCTCCCCTTTTCACAAGAACACATCTATGGGAATATAATGGAAATTTCAACCTGGATCAGGCCCAGAAGCCCTATGGAAAAGCATAAGGTTTATCTAGATTACAAACCTTAAGAGGGGAGATTCCAAATGTCCCAACTTCCCACCATACTCTTAAGGTTCAGTCACCCAGCACCATTCTTAAATCTTTTTGAATAACATGTATAGTGATGTTGGAAGGCTTACTACATACCAGTCACTGTCCTGAGCACTTTATATATATATTAACTCAATTAACCCTTTAACTCCTCTGTGAGGTAGGGACTAGTTTATATTCATTTTACAGAAGAGGAGAGGGAGAGAGGGGATAACTTGCCCTAGGGCACCTAACTAATAGTGCCTAGCCCCAAGACCACATCCTTAACCGCCACTAACCATTGCACCTATCAATTCTCTACTTAGAGGTCTGCGCATACATGCCACAGACCTTACTCCTCCCCTGGCATGGTTTCCCAGTTGTCTTGGGGAAGTTTTTCTCAAAGCTTCACAGCATGAGTCTAATTTACTCCCATCCTGCCACGCCTTGCGGACAGCCGCCTGAGTTCTTGCGTAGATGTCCGGCCAGGGGCCCCTGGTGGCAGACCAGCCTCGGAGCTACGAGCTGAGTTTCAGACCATTACCTCAGCATCAAAGAAGTGTAAGATCTCCACTCCACTCTTCTCGCCTCTTTCCTTCAGGTCCTCCTTAAAGGGATCCATGAGGATGATTAGTTTCATGTCTGGAGTGAGGCCCTTCTCCACATTTTCTAACAGGACCGATGCCTTTTGGGGAGTATCACAGATCACTGCAGAGATAGAAGCTGAAAGCAGAGACAGAGCCCGAGGTCAGCTTTCTGCTCTGCTATGTACCTCATGGTCTTGTATGGCGGAAGGGATTTTTGAAAATTTCAAAGCTAGTAGGTCCCCCAAAGGATATTAATTTTGGCTGCAAATCAGCTTTGTAATACATAAAACCTGAAACATTCCATTGGTATTAAAGGAGCTTAACTGAAGCAGAAGCAGAAGCAGAGTTCCCTTGTGCACTGCCAACCCAGTTTAGTCTCTAGAGAAGCCACACAATTCCTTCTGCTAAAGGATATAGATGACTCGTAGCAAAATTGCAGAGGTGTGGTCCTGTCGATGTGTTTTCTTTGGGGGAGGGAAGTAGGGGGGTAGAAGGGAAAGGAGGGGACGAATCATATTTTAGCAGACAAGCATTTTATGATTTTAAATGTTAGCATTTGCTCTGATACTTGTTTACACAAATAGAACATGCCTGATTGTGTCTCTAGTTCAAATGGATCTACTCATTTAATCTATTTCTGTGAAAGAAAGTAACATCTTGGATATGTGGAAGGGTGTTACTTGCCCATTGAACTTGTACTTGTTTGACAATGGTAATTTTTTTTACAGACTCACCATAAACGTTGGTACATACTGGTTAACTGTACTGACTTAGATTTACAAGAATAGGAATTTAGACCGGAAGTTTCACAGCAATTTAGTCACCCACTCTGGCCTTTTCTCCAGTGTGGCCAAAATAAATAGCCTAGTCCTATAAACTACATTGTCATACTGTCACCTTAAAGCATTTCATTCACTCTTCTATCTGTACACATCCCTGCCTCGTGGACTTCTTGTAAAGTCCCTATAAATTATATTGCAGGTATACTCAGGACAGCAAAGACTTGAGCATTTTCCTGGTCTTGCCAAGTCTGCTTACAAAAGCAGACATTGAGGAATTACTCAGCATTAAGAAAGAACTAAATGGTAATGTAATAGCAAATTTTTACCCTTATTGATAATGTATATGACGGCTTCTGCTCCCAAGGTGTCATACAGGGGGACAGCCACCATGGAGTACGTGTAACAAGCTAACTCGGAGATGATCCACTGTATGGAGAGAAGTTCAGATAAGGACTAGAACATACTTTGAACAGGAAAAGCATTAGTCATTTAGCCAACAAATTCTTTTGTGGTTATTTTGCATTAAAACAAAATCTCTGTGGGACAGCAGGGACTACCACTGTTAATGCTACCAAGTACAGTTAAACAAAGGAGATAAGATAGGCACAGAGACGACCATAATACAAAGGTGGGCCAGGGTACAAAGGTGAAGTGTGATACATTCTAGCCAAAGAGGCACCGAGGGCCTTAGGGAGATGTAAGGGGGCAGAGGTCGCTTTCAGAGGTGGAGTATAGCCTACCTGGGGCTGCTTTGCTGAGCTCGATAGGAATTGGGTGGGTCTATGAAGGACTGGTGAGATTGGGTTGTGGAGGTGGAGCCTGAGGAGGCATTCGGGGCGGGGGTGGGGAGGGCATACAAAAGTAGGTGAGCGTGACATCAATATGTTTATATCAGGAAGCGTGAAGAGTGACAGAAAATGAGACTGTGTTATGGGTGGAATTGCAGCCTTAACTCCCAATGCCATGAATTTTGGACATAGGGCCCTTAAAGAGGTAATTCAGGTTAAATGAGTTCATAGGGTGGTGTCCTAATCTAATGTGACTTGTGTCCTAAGGTAGAGGAAGAAACACCAGGATGACAGAGAAAAAGTCAAGTGAAGACACAGTGAGAAGCCAGCCAATGGCAAGCAAAAGAGAAAGTCCCCAGGAGAAACCAAACTGGCTGAAACCTTGATCTTGGAGTTCCAGCTGCCACAACTGTGAGAAAATATATTTCCGTTGTTTAAACCACCAGTTTCTGGTATTTTGTTATGGCAGTCCGTGCAGACCAATTCACTAGGTTTGGTTTTAATTTCCTAAACTAGAGTCGAAGAGATGTCTTCTCACTGAAGCTGGGTGTAACAGATTAATTGCAATCATCTTAATGTCTAAAATATGCTTTCAATGGTCAGTCTCAGTAGAAAATGGATGCATTGGTTTACTTCAGGCACAACATGCAAGTTACAATTCTGATATGAATACATCCTTTTCTAGAACATCCTCAAGCTCTTATTGGCCACTCCCTTTTAGCTTCTTTGTTTTCCTCATGCAACAAACAGAGTGACTTAAAATGACTGTTACTGGTCTGGGAAATAAGAGAAATCTAGTCATCTAGCTAAGAGCACTATACATTCAACCAGGAATTAAGGAGGCCCTGAGTTGTCATTCACTCAAGGGGAAGAATATTTAGAGAACATGAGATCTTTAAGTAGCTTTGGTAAGTCACGAACAAGTGTTAGGATTTAAAGTGTCTAAACTTAGACCTGACTCATTTGCTTGAGTTAACTTCAACATGGTTACCTCTGGTCTATTCTGGGAAAAGATGCCAACAAAATATTCTTGTGATGCCTTATGTCCTTTATGTAAGAGACAGGAGCCCAGGTACTCTGCTCGATCAGACACCTACAAAAAAGACAGAAAGGAGGGAAGGAAAAACAGCAGTCAAGACCCAAAGGGACCAAATTAGCTCAGGATATCATATAAGCAATTTTTCCCAGACAGGGGCCTGACTTACCTGTTTGTAGGAGAGCCATTTGTAAGGTTGGTTTGGCTTTCTATATCCCAAGCAAGGCCCATTGTCTGAAAACATAACATTAAAAGAAAATCAGCTCCATTTGCAAATTCTGTGGGCCAGATAAGGTAAAGGGGAGTTAGAAAGAAACAAGACACAAAAGATAAATCTAGTTAGAATGTGAACTTCTCTTTTGTGCCAAGGAAATTCAAAGGCAGTGAGTACTCAGTTCTCAAAGGCAGAGAAAGTCTTACAAACCACAATGGAAACGTTTAGGAAATTCTGCAGAACAGAGGTGGCTCAGTTTTGGAATATGTGACCTCCATGGTAACAGGCATTCAAAGAAAGCAAGAATATGGACTAACCCACATAATATGAACAAGTAAAAGCCCACAAGCAAACACAGCCTGAATTGGATAACCTTGGACTGAGTATCCCTATAACAAAAAAGAAAGAAAGAAAGAAAGAAAGAAAGAAAGAAAGAAAGAAAGAAAGAAAGAAAGAAAGAAAGAAAGAAAGAAAATGTATTCTCAAAAAAAAAAAGGAAAAAAATCAAAATATGAGTTGCCAATAATCTTGTCACATAAATACTATTGTTAATACCGATATTCTGTTCATAGTTCCTTTGCACAGTGCTATAGGGTTATGACATATATATCAATTTATCCTGCTTCCTTTCCTTGTTTGATATAAACATACCCATGTTAGTTATTCTCTGTAGAGATTTCAGTGGCCTTATTATGGCCTATGGACAAAGGGCTTTAGTATAATTGGCTTAACTCTCATTGTGGATATTTAGGTTATTTCCAAGTTTGACACCATAACTAATGCTATGGTAAATATTTTCAAGTTTAGAACATTTTCTTAGAATAGAGTCCCTAAAATGAAATAACTGAGCTGGGAGGTGGGGGTCGTTGGAATGGTTCAGGTTTTTGTTTTGTTTGTTTGCTTTTAAAGATTTATTTATTTTTAGACAGAGGGGAAGGGAGGGAGAAAGAGAGGGAGAGAAACATAGATGGGTGGTTGCCTCTCACACACCCCCTACTGGGGACCTGGCCCACAACCCAGGCATTGTGCCCTGACTGGGAATCAAACCAGTGACCCTTGGTTCACAGGCCAGCACTCAATCCACTGAGCCACACTCGCCAGGGCCTGGCACTGGTTTTTGATACCTAGCACCACATTGCTTAACAAGACCCCTTGTGACAATTTCCTTTTCTCCCACCAGGAACATATCAAGTCATTGACATTGAATACTATCTTTTTAAACATGACTTGTGGCCTGATAGGTTTAAACAATTATTACTTTAGTTGACGTTTTTTTTAACAGCTAGTAAAGTGGGACCTTCCCCTTGCTTGTGCAATTTCATATACTCTCATCTATTCAGGTACTTTGCCTGTTTGCAGGAGTGTCTCCTGAAATACCAAGGCTCATTGGAACTGAAAGGACACATACTTGTGCACACACACGCAGCTCCACACACCACATATATTTCCCTTCTATATTTTTATAATTGTGTCCTACATTTGACAGTAAAAGAATTAAGCTTCTGAACATCTGAGCTACTCAGTCTTACTGAAATTAAAATCAGTGCAGGGACAACGACTTGTTAAACAGTCGTCTCAGCCACAGAAGCATGGAGGCTATGATAGGAGGCTAAGAGAGAAGTCTAAATGGCTGAGAAGCCAACATGAGACCAAGTTATAAATAGAAAAGTAGAAGGGAAGGGAATTTCACATTGAGGCTCCAGCCAAATTTCTGAGAGGACTTTGGGTCCTGCTAAAAGGAAACATTCAGAGAAAGGGTTACTAGGAATTCAGAGGTAAACATGTAAACTTTCTGACTGAGTGACAGAGGAAAAAGGAAAGAAAGCAGGAAAGAGATAGCTGCTCTGATTAAAAAGGTATACAAAATAAATGAGGAGGCAGTCCACAGGAAACGTTAGTACTTTTTCTTCCTGCTGAAACAACTGCATAAAAGCTCAAGAAGTCAAGTCTCAGACTGTAATTTTCCATGAAGTCAGGCAAGTCCTGTCCTACGACGTGCTCATAGCCCCTGCTCCTGCCCAGAGTGTGTGCCTTGATAGTCTAGCAGTGAGCTGGTACTGATGTTAATTACTAGTGATAGCTACTGATTGTGGAATGCTTACTCCATGCTAGGCACACTCACTCATGTGACCTTTGCAACTGTTGTTATCCCCATGGGACAGAGAGTCAAAAAGTCCTGGGACAGCTTCTTCAGGCTCACTCGGTAAGTGGCAGAGCTGATGAATGTGGAAAAAACCATACTGCATCTCCCTAATTTTCACTTCCCTATAGGTGAAAATTCTAGCAGAGGCCCAGGGTCAAGTAACAAGTCAAATAATTGGCCCAAAGGGGCACCAACTCAGGTCTCATTAAAATCTGTGCCCTAATCAGCTTTAGCCTGATTAGCCAAAGTCCTGATCAGGCAAGAGCCTAGTCTTTGATTAACTTACACAACTGGGATCAACTTGGCAAAATTGCTACCTAGGTTAAGTAGAGTTGAAACGATGGCATGATGATCCCTCCCTTCAATCAAGCTTTGTTAAAAATTCAGATTCTTAGGTCTCATCTGGAATTTTGATTCAGTTTAACAAGGGAAGCCAGAGAATCCATATTTTAAACATTACCCACAGGCGACTCATAACATAGACCAGCTACTGGGTAGGGGTTAAAAGTAGATACTGGGACTGGTGTATTCAACCCCAGTTGGGATCAGAAGTGTCATTTTTGTTTGGAAATAGCCAGGCCAGATTTCTCCTGTCTGGTGACCTAAGAAGTAAATTTAACTTTATCTGTTTAGTTTTACTATAGCATTGGGAAAACAAAACAAAACAAAACAAAACAGCCCTCTAAATGAAGTATCTTACATAACATTTTCTAGTTCTGCCACCTTCAGAATGTTCCTGAGCCTCAGAGTCTCTGTTTTCTCATTTTAAAAAATGATAGTAACTAATCCCTGAGGTTTAGGGAAGATTAGAAGGTAGTATAACAACAGTATCTATTGCATAGTTAGCACTTGACAGGAGTTGGCTATTAAATAGTATTGTAGTCATAGTTAAAGGCAGAAGGAAGGGAGGGATAAGAAGTCACATAGGCAAAAACCTATGCCTGAACATAATGTTACCCCAAAGAAAAAAGATACAGGAAGAGCTGTAAGCCAATAGATTTTGAAAGGAAACTAGCACACCTAGCGTAGTGTTCAATGATAAGAGATATAAGTACTGAGGCTTGATATGTTCCAAGTGAACCTACCAAAACCCACATGGTGCTGTTGCAAAGAAAGTCCAAAAGATAATTGTTTTTTGAGAAACTAAGAGTAGCAACCTGGGCCAGTAGTATGGTATTAGGGTCAGGACAAGGTAAGAAAGCCTAAATGCTAATTCTGGTTCAGATTCTGCATCTGGGGAATTGCATTTATAAAAAACATGTTCCTAAACAAATGTGATGTACTAATGAACCAGTGAATTAATCAAAATACTTTCCTACACATTATTGTCATCTATTTAACAACAACTTGGTAGGGAAGTTCTTATGTTAAGAGTAAACAGTAATCTCAGCCATGGAGGTTGTGGTATGAAGCTAAGGAACAAGACTAAATGGCTGAAAAGCCAAAGTGAGACCAAGTTATAAATAGAAAGGCAGAAGGGAAAGGAACTTGACATAGAGCCTCTAGCCAAGTTTCTGAGAGGACTTCAGGTCCTGCCAAAAGGAAGCATTCAGGGAAAGGGCTACTAGGAATTCAGAGGTAAGTATGTAAACTTCCAGACTAAGTGACAGGAAAAAGGCAAGAAAGCAGGAAAGAGATAGCTGCTCTGTGTTAAGTGAGGGACAGAGTCAGGGAGGCAAAGTGGTTTGCACAAGATCACACAGCTGGAAATGGAAGAACTGGGTTTCAAACCCAAGGCTGTCCTACACTGTTTCCTGAGGCTGTGATTTTCCGATTCCTGCATCCATCCCAACACTGCTAATGTCCCCTCCATTTTGTATATTAGAATTCTACCCAGACCACCACTGGGTTTTCAGAAGAGAGACAGGGAAGCAACGCTATAGAACAAGACCCCATATTGGTCTTCCTACAGGCAAGGTGAGACTGCCCCACTTACCAGACACAGCAAGTCCTCTTTGGAATGATTCATACATCGTCTTGGCATCTGAGAAGTAGTAACTTAGCAGGTCATTGTTCCCCTGGCAAACAGCCCTCCGTGCTCCTCCCTAAGACACAAGGTCAAGTTTAGATCAAGCCTGACGTCTTTTCTCATCCTTTCCAAACCCTTATGCATTGTATTGAATAGGATGTAAATGCTGACCATTGAGGTCACAAGAATTACCTTTCTATCCTATTCAATCCATTTTTTAAATCTCAAACTGGAAGTATCTTTATATCATAGAAACCCAGAGCCAGTCACAGTTATGTTTTTTGGCAATCTCCCCCACCACTCTAAACACACGCGCGCACACACACACACACACACACACACACACACACACGCACGAGAGAGAGAGAGAGAAAACATTATAGTTTATCCTTTAAAAATTCATATCAAGTCTATTCCAGGCACTGTGCAAATACTGTAGATGTAAAAGAAGCTAAGGCAAAATTGCTCACCATGAACACCTCATAAGTGAAAGTTTTGTAATGGAGGTGGGATAAGAAGGGAAAATATGCAAACATAATACTATGATGTACATGCTGAAATAAAACATATGTTTTGGGAGACTAATGAAGCAACAAGTTCTGTACTAAGTAGAAAGGCTGCAGAGCAAAAATGATATTTTAGTAGAGACTTTGAGGATAAGCAAACATTGACTAAAATCATATGGATTGGTACAGGGGAGGGAAAGAATAGTTTGGAGTGAAGGAACAGCCTGAATAAAGGCACAGAGGCCAGAAAACACATTGCAGACTGGTGGACAGCTAGAGAACAGGGTGTTTGAAAAAGAGGGAGTAGGAAGGGACATGTCTGCTAGAAATGTCTGCTGGAACTACAGGATCAGGGCCTCATGTGGATATTGGAGCTGCAATGGAGCTACAGGCATAGTCCAGGCCTCATGAAAATGAGTCTAGAAAGAAATAGGCATGGATTAAATAAGGATACAAAAGGCGGCATGAAAGTAACACATGAAATTATAACAAGAGATCTGACTTGTCTAGGGCATCAGGGAAGATTCCGAGGAGATGTTGCATGAAGATGTCAAAAATAAAGTTCCTTGTTTAGTAAAGGAAGATAGGGTCTGTCTTCATAGATGGGCTGAGGAAGAAGGAAGAATGAAAAGTGATTCAGACTCAACTTTAAGCAGCTGGTTAAGAAGAGATAGATATAACTAAGATAGAGCAGGAAGGGAAATGGGAAAGGGTATGATACTCACTTGTGTGCGCACGCATATGTGCATGTATGTGTAGGGAGAAGATATGCAACAGAGAATGGTTGACCTTGAGGGACTTGAGTGTCACTGAGGTGGACTGGAAATCAGGGGAGAGGTAAGAACTAGAGAGTCAGATTTTGGTGTCATAGCCTTTTAGTTATATTTCAAGTCATAGGAAAGGAAGGGTTTTCTCAGATGTGAGGAATTAAAGCAGGGATTGGCTCACATCTGACCTGAACCTGCTTTTCCAAATACAGTATTATTGGAACAGAGCCATGCTAATTCATTTACATGTTGTCTGGTGCTTTCACGCTACAGCAGTAGAGTTGAGTAGCTGGCAACAGAGCCCTCATGGCCTGCACAGGCTGAACTGCCTGGCCTTTACAAAACATGTTTGCCAACCCCTGCTTTAGAGAAATCAAGAGATAGTGAGGCTGAAACTCTAGGATGAGGAGAGGAAACCACCTAAGTGGCAAAGGGGGACTGTCTTAGAATTAGAAAGAAATTATGAAAGGCAAAAGGAGAAGTTTTAAGAAAGAAGTCTTAAGTCAATTGAGTGGGAGGCTGAAAGAGGATCATTGAATTTGAAAGTTAGATTATGAGTGACCAAGAGAAGTTAGGGGAGATGATAGTAGTGAAGGCCTGATCTCAGTGGGTTGCAGCTCAAATGAGGACATCAACAAACAGACTACTCTTACAGAACTCTGCTGGGAAAAGGAAGGGGCGAAAGGAGATGGCGGTCTGAAGCAGCAAGATGGGCAGGAGGGGACAATGCAACGAAGGAGATACAGACGCACCAGAAAAAAAGAACAGGTAGTGAACAGTGCAGTTAACTTGGAATAGGATTCCCAAGTAGGCAAAGGAAGTTCAGTAAAAGATCAGAAGGGGGTTAGTTTTACAAAGGAACAGAAATGCTTTTTTTTTTTCCTTTGAAAAGCATTGAAGATGAAACATGATGAAGAGAACATTCTTAAAGCTTTCCCTTTGCTCAGAGATATCAGAAGTTGTGTGATTTGCTGAAAGTTGGGAAATTGGTAGGAAAAGGTCAGCTTCTGCCTGTTTTAAGAATGAACAGTAATTCAAAGCTGGAATTTAACTCAATAACTTATTTACGATTTTCAGACATTGGGTATCTCAATAAAAATATTCTCTTGCCCCCAAAGTTCTGACTCTATCATCTAGATTAGCGAGTTTCAACCCTTTTCACCTCATGGCACATATCAACTACTTACTAAAATTCTGCAGCAAAAAAAAATATATATTTTTTGCTGACCTGACAAAAAAAAAAAGAAAGTATAATTTTGATTCATTCACACCAGAGGGCTAATGTTGTGTTGACCACTGTCATTTTTTAATTTCAAAATTTAAGAGAAAAGAAGTCAGTGCCCTTGCCTAAATAGTCAGGTATTGTGTGTTAAACCAAAAAAAGAAAGAAAATTCTTGCTACACACTGGTTGAAAATCACTGATCTAGATCATAGGTTGGCAAACTTTTCCTGTAAATGGGTAGATAGTAAATAGACTTGGTGGAACATATATGACCTATCCCTCTTTTTTATTTTTATTTTTTGTTTTTACATATCCCTTTAGAAATGTAAAATCCATTCTTAGCTTGCTATCCCCATCCAAAAAAAAAAAAAAAAGGTAGATTTTTCCTGTGGGTTGTAGTTTGACATCCCTGACCTAGATTACTGGCATCATAAGACCTAATTGTGGTTTCATTTTTATTATAAAGGAAAATGTGCCATCAGTAGGAAGTTTAGACTTGTAGATTTTCTGTTGATTACAAACCTAAAAGGCTTACTTTTCATGCTACACCTCATCCCCTTCAAGAGTTATCCCAAGGTCTTCAATTACATACAGTTTGTGTTTGACCAATGTTGACAAACTTTAAAAAGGTAATTGGTAGGTTACCTCAATTCCCACTGACTGGTTGTCCAGGTCAATAGCAGGCAAGACAGGGTAAGGTTTGTTCATCAGCCACAGGAAGATGGCAGCTCCAAAGATCAGGAGGCAGATCAGTGCCGGGGTTGGAAGTGGGGAAAACAAGAAGTTAAAGATGAAAAGCATCTTGGTGAATAGCAGCAGGAAATTTAGGCCTTAAAAAAAAAGAGAGAGAGAAGGAAACAAAAAGTTAGTAGAAATGGTTGTATCTTTTTCTTCAACAGTTCTAGATTTACAGAAGGCAACATGCACAAACCCATATACACACAGCTTCTAATCCTCCAAGTAGCCAGTGTTCGGCCTCTCTAGTAGCAGAATTTCTCCCACGTTTACCTTAGCAATGTTGAAAATAATAGAATGCTTTCTACCCACAACCGCTACTTGATTGCCCTCCCACAAGGTAGAAAGGATCAAAGGAAACAAGTTAATCATTTCCCAGACAATTTTGAGAAATGACTGTCCTTTTATTTCTGGTCCACAAAGCCTAGAAGAAGCCCTTCTGGACCCACCAGAAGCTGGTAGTCAGAGGAGGGTGCTCCAGAGAGCTTCTCCCTGCCCAGGCAGACGGAGAGTCAGGAAGGACTCTTCGGGCTGAATTTCTCTAGTATAAACCAAACAGAAAAGGGAGCCTCTACAGAGGCGACGCCACAGATTTTAGAAATCAAGTGTTCTGCATGAAGGACATTCCATGTAGGCTGGATATGACTTGCTCATTGCTTTCTCTTTTTTAAAGCATCAAGAATGGCTCAGAGATCAACAGCATCACAACTTGCTATGTCCAATGTCATCTTCTCCAGGAAATCTGGAGGAACAATTTTTATTGGAGGCAACATGAATCAGGTATGCAGAAAGGGTGCTGGAGGATGAGCCTAAAACATGACAGATCTGTATGGAAGATTTCAGCCAGGATGCAATCTCAAGTAACAAGAGTAACAAAGGCTTCTCCCAACACAGCTTTTATTGAGCACTGACTATATATATTTGTCCAAGCCCTGGGCTTGTAACAAAGTGAAATGCTCTATCTCTGACTCCATCTTGTTCAAGCCTTCCTTGTTTCCATGGCCTTCAGACTAATAGCCCCTGCTTTGCCTTGAATATAGACATGGTAATTATTAGAGGAATTCTGCTTGTAACTTGAGATTTCAAAAACAGCCCCTCCCATTTTTCCTTCCCTTGACATAAAAGAAGCCTGAACTCTGTACTTTCTTTTTTTTTTATTTTAAAGATTTTATTTATTTATTTTTAGTGGGAGGGGAAGGAGGAAGAAAGAGAGGGGAAGAAACACCAATGTGTGGTTGCCTCTCACTTGCCCCTTCACTGGAGTCCTGGCCTATAACACAGGTATGTGCCCTGATGGGGAATCAAACCAGTGGTGCTTTGGTTCACAGGCTGGCACTCAATCCACTGAGCTACACCAGCCAGGGCTGTACTTGCTTAAGATGGATTGGGAGAAGCACTGGATTTTCCATCTTCTCAGTTGGTACTGTCTCATCAATAAACCTTTCCTTATTCCAAACTCTGACATTTTGAGTATTGCACCACAGACTTTGGACCAAAACCAGAATGAGTTGTTTATATGAATTATCTAACTTAAATTTACAAATGTCATGAAGTAGCATTTTATAGATAAGAGCATAGAAGTTCCCAAGGGTAAAGTGGGAACTTCTTGTCTAAGTTCACTTACTATTTCCATTGCTGCTTCCCCGTTAAAATCTAAAAAGCCCACAACTCAGGATTTTCTTATAGAGACTAGCCATCAAGTTCAAGCAGACTCAGTTTGCCTGGCACCTTATAGGTGACAGCAAAAGAAGTTCGTAATTTGTATTCTTCAAAGTTTCCTGCAATGCCTTATGGAAAAATATTTCAGAGATGAGGCCAAACATTCGCATTCAAAGTCAAAAGAACAAAGCAAGCCCAATAAAAAGTTTTATTGGATCAAGATCAGCCACCCTTAGAACTGTGGCTCAGCTGCCATCAGCTGCCATCCAGAACTTTTTTCCATCAGGGAATACACGTCATTGCATGAAAACCATGGCTATAAAACTTAGGAATTTTGTGTGGGAGCAAGAGCAGCCCCAAGAAACCCTGAGTCACTCATCTTTTTTTTTTTTTGTCCCCTGATTGCTTATCCCCTGAATTTGGAGTCGTCCCTCTTTATTTTATGGAGGAAAACGGAATTTCCAGAGACTAGTATGACTGTCTCCAACTCCTTGGTGTTTTCCGTGTTGCATTTGGGGGAAGAAAGAAGACAAAGCAGGGCCCCACAGGGGCTAGCTAGCTTCTGGGACAACGGGTGCTATTGTGACTACCTGCCAGGATTCTAAGAGCAGGGATTTTTTGAATCCAGCCTTACCTGGACTTGTCTGGTGAAGGAACACTCCAGGAGGCAGAACCTGTTCAAGAGTCAGCCATACAGAACTTGTTCCTGAGGCCAGCCACCCCAACCCAGGGAAAATGGAAGTTTGTGAAATTGACAGAGCAGAGAGCAGTGCTAAAGGGAGGAAAAGCCTGCTTTGTGCTTGCCTATCCTGCCTGCTGTCAAACCACCCTGCTCCCCCAGCCTGGGACACAGCCGCCAGTCTGGTATCTTACTCTCTAGGATTCTTCTCTCTGCTCCAATGCCACCATCGAATTAAGAGATTCTTACTGAACCCCGCTTCACAGCTGTGGGAGCAACTTGTTGCCCTGAGGACTTTGCCCTCTTTGTACAGATGGCAGATTTGATGGGAGACTTTGCAAACAACAGCTTTAAAAGAGGGTCTAAAGGTGAAATTTATGTTAATTGTAGCAGTATGGGGTAGGAGGAAAAGGGGGAGCAAATAGGCTGGCAGGTAACACAAGGGGGCAGGGAGAGAGAGAGAGGGAGAGAGAGAGAGGCAGAACCTGTTGTCAAACTTGACTGATTGTTACCATGTAGTGATGTGAGCCTGGGGTCACCAAATGGTCAGATTTTTTTTTTCTCCCTAGAAAACTTGGATCACTGGATTTTTATCAACCTCAGTTAACTATTGGCTCAGTTAGTGTCTAGTTTGGAATTGACGAAACAAATCTGATTTAACTTGGACTATGGTCTGTCAATGAGCACTTCTTTCAAACAGACTTCATTTATAACATCCACAAATAGAATGAGACTAGGCACTTGATTACAAACAAGGGAGATATTGATGAATGCCAAGACCACAGTTTCATGACAATGAAAGTACCTTGCCTGCCCTGGATTGAAGAAGGCACTCCAGGATATATCTACAATGTCAACTGAAATACCTTAACTTATTTCCCTATTACTGACCAATTCAAACAGGACATGTGCAAAATTTCAGATGGTCCCTCCCTGACTCCCGACTTGTTCAAAAATTAGGGTAAAATTTGAGTAACATATAACTAATGATTTTTAAATGGACAATTTAGCAACATTCAGTTCATTCACAATGTTGTGCAACCATTGCCTCTAGTTAGTTCCAAAACATTTTCGTCACCCCAAAAAGGAAATCCTGTACTCAGTACGCAGCCACTGCCCATTCTCTTTCCCTTCAGACTCTGGAAACCTCAAGTTTACTTTCTGTTTCTATTGATTTACTAATGCTAAGTATTTCATATAAATGGAATCATATAATGTGTGACATTTTGTGTGTGACTTCTTTCACTCAGCATAATATTTTCAAGATTTATCCATGGTATTGTGTTGGTTCTTCATCCCTTCTTATGGCTGAAAAAAAAATCCAATTTTTTTATGTACTTGTTGGCCATTTGCATTTCTTCTGTAATTAAATATCTGTTCCAGTCCTTCGCCCATTTTTAAATTGGGCTGCTTGTCTTTTTGTTGTTGAGTTGTAAGAAATCTTTCTATATTCTGGATACTAGACACTTAGAAAAAATGATTCACCAATACTTTCACCCATTCTTCTGTCTTTTCACTATATTGAGAGTCTTCTTTCTAATGCACAAAACACACACATTTTTAACCTTACAATGTTACCTATCACTAGAGAGGATTTGTGCCCATGCCCTCCAACTGTCATTGTAAATGGGAGAAACTGAGGGTCTGGGAGAATGTGAGAACTTCCAGTTGGGTCTCACCATTACTGGACTGGGAAGCTCTGGCAAGCATTCCAACCTTAGAATCTGTTAACACTTACACATGTGCTCAAGTAAATGAGGGGAAAAAGCCACCATTGTTTTGCCATGTGTCATGTGTTACTCAAATTACAATTTTGTTCCAGCACTTAATGGCATCTCCTGCAAATTGTTGGTGTAGTGGCGCTTCCTCTTCACTTTCTGTCACTACTCATTGGGAAAATGTAGGGTAGGGGGAAATGCAATAGTGGTTAAAAAAAGAAAGAGGAAAGAGAGTTGCGTGATGCTGTATGTGGGAGCTTCTCTTCAGGTTATTTAAACATAGCTGAGAAAGCCACAGTGCACATCAGCGTGCCCCAAGTGGAAAGCTTCTTCCACTTCCTGATGTGGTTGTAGTGACATGCCTCTACCTCTACCCCAGGCTGCCCACTGGTCCTCAGCCATTGCTGAGGGGTTGCTGAACGAATGGACAGTTTTCTGGTTCTAGCCTGGTTAACTTGTCTGTTCTAATCCTCTTAGTTGACCCATGTTTCCCTTAGTAAAACTACCCCACCCTCGAACTCCCCAAACCTAGATCATCAAAAGTCATTCTGGACAATCTTGGGTTGGGTACTCCCACATCAATATTTCACCAAGGTAGTGGGTTAGGGATGATGGGTGGTGAAAAGAGTATGTTTCTAACACATGTCAAGGACCACTCAGGATCAGTCAAGTTCTCCAGGCTAGTAAAATCTACAGGATAAATCTTATCAAAGTATGTCATCTACAGTGGTAAGTGGGCAGAAAGTCCAGCCTAGAAATAAATAATTCTGTTACCCTGGGTTTCTGGAATTGAGAGGACAATAAAGCAAATTATCTTTTCTTTGAGGACTGAAGGACTAATTATTTTCTATGCAATAATGAGATGTAAAATGAAATTATATGTTTTTTTTTACTGCTCCCTAGAAAACTGCACACTCATTTGGACTTGATTGGTTTCTCTCTTCTCTTGCATGTATGGGCTTATTCTGTGGTGATAGAAAGCTCATTAAATAGGAGATCAGAGTCCCCAGGTTCTCACATCCAGTTAGTTAACACATTC